TGAATGAAAAAAAATGTTCGAGTCGCGGTATGAATTATTTGTTGCCGTCATCACTTTGATTAAGCGAATTATGCTAAATTGAACCATCCTTTTTAAGTTATCTGTCTCTTCTTACGCACACAGTTCAAGTGGCTATCGCACCATTATGATTTTGCGTTAATAAGGAGAAGCATTAAAACATTTTGGTTATTTCATCCGGAGTGAGATTTATTTAAATCCTTTGCCCACGATTGATACATATTTATTTGATAAGAGAATAGAGTAGCCCATAATTCGCTTAATCTGCTCCTGCTGCTGCTAATGCGGTGAGTTACCACCAATAAATTGGACCATGGGATTATCTATCTATTACCAGATTTTATTTTACCCATATTTAAGTAATTGGAGCAACTATTTATTTAACCCTGTGCGTAACTGGGTATGTTTAAATTGCCGAAATGTATCATATCATCCTCAAGGAAAACTTAATTTGCCAGCAAGTGTCAATTCAGCGTTATTGGTCGGATAAAAAATCCGCCTTGACCTTTCCAATGGATTGGATGCATAAATCTCATACATTCTCTAATCTTGCTTTGACCAAATGCTTACTTACTTTTCCATGAAGTATCAAAACCTTTCTTGGAATTTCATGCCTTACTTATATTATGCCCCAGACTTTACCAAAGACTAATCTGCATCCGTTTCCGACCCATCCATCCTTTCCCGTTATAAACTATTACTCACCAACCAGCAAGGCAAATGGATAATGAATACTACAATTATTTTAAAGATGCTTGAACCCAACGATACATCATCAACGATCCATTAAATTATAAATTGTTGTCTGTGTGTCTACTACCTCACTCAGAGCTCAGCCTGATTTTAGAGAAAGAAACGATTTACTACATACATATGTACTACTACGGTCAGACTCATTATTAAAATAAGAATGAAGTCACTGGTTGATGATCTCTCGGTACGTCTCCGTCTTTTTGCAAGCATACAAAAGTTGAGATATTGCTGCTTAAAATGTGTTCATCATCATCATCTTTATTACTGCTGCAGTTCACGAACGACCACGACCACCAAAAAGCACGCTAATAACTAAATATATGCGTAGTCCATCATTGTATTGTGTACACATTTCACTACAAATGTATTTAGAAACAATGTGGAATTCATAATAAATAACATGAAGTACAGACTGGAACTGTAACCGGCTTTCACGTGGAGTTGGATAGATAGATCGAGAGTAATCTATGTACAGCCAATAAATAATAATGACGCAGAGTCTCCTACCAGATATACTTTTGCACACATGAATCAAATAAATTGCGCTGAGCGAGTGGAGATAACCTGATGTGGTCAAGTGTATTAGACAGAAATTGGTATTGGAGGTATGTATGGAGGTGGTAAAACCTATTATTCGATAATCTCAGATTTTTCACCACCACACCACCAAAACTCTGATAACTTTTGCATTGTATTTTGTATCATCATCATGATCATCATCACCACCACCCTCATGCATCTCTCGGACTGACTTTTAGCATTCTCTACTTGACAGCCATTTCACGTACGCAATGAGCAAGAGCAATTACATTTTCAGTCAGAACAAACCCACATGTACCGAAATTTTTTAAAGCTAACCAAACCACCACCACTTGAAACAAGTTAACACGACTACATACACAGAGATAGATGTGCATGCAAATGTGCTTTACATCTTTACACCATTTACTTAATAATTCTAATACAAATATCCATTCTTTTAATGACACAATGGTTCAGTCAGTAATTATTATTTTACTACGACGAACGGACGGACAATGCACCAACTAAAGTGACAAGTTGAGCAAATACCAAAAGTACACGTAATAGTTTGCACACGAAAAAAAAAAGATCATCACGCCTCCACCAAGTATTTAGAGCGACTGACGCTTCGATCCCCTGCTAAACTAAAAAGTGTCCACATACATTATTCCTAGATAATAATACTGCAAAGGAGAGACTCTTTCTAATTCAATGGAAATGGTGGAGTAGGTCACGAACACTAACTAACAACCTGTGGTGGGGGGAAAAGGGCTGGATTCGAGCAGATGATGGGGCGGGGGATGAGCATGGTACAGATATTTAGGTATATTTTGACTGCAAACAAACTCTATCTTGCCGTATCTAATTAGTGGCTGGAGGGCATTCCTTCCTAAGTACATATCCCCTACTTACTATGTAATAATGCGATCTACCTGTTGTGTAATGCATGCAACAAAGTACGTACGTACGTATTTATTCAGCAAACCCAACCACGAGGAGGTAGTGGCAAAAAATTCGGGTCAACGTTCACTCCTTTTCGTGGATAAGAGAACTCTCGAGCTAGACTCCTATACGAGAGATGAATGATGGTGAAAAAAACCGGTTTCTTTCTTTAAGCATTCACACTCAGGAGATATTGTGTGTCTGATTTATAAACATTTCTTCTTCTTCTTAATTCGCATGCACAATACATTGTTGAGTTAGACGAAGAAGTTCCTCCAGCAGAAGAAATTTGCAGTCGAGCAGTGATGCCAGAGAAAGAAGTGAATGTTTACAATGCTGGTCCTCCGACCAACCAATCTAATGACGATAAAGCCTTTTAACTCAACCTGTCAGATAGCACGCTGCTGCACAGGTAAAAACGTACGTACGTATTATTTAGTGGTCTGGTCTGGTCATAGTGAGAGTGTTATTTCTATTAGGTCTCGTTCATCCGTCGGTTAAAACATTTCAGATTGGTCAGCATAGGCTTCACTTTAATATAATACCGAGTCGGTATTACCGACCAAGTGAGTGTCTTTCTGCTGCATGCAACTAACTGCGAACTGCTCAGATGGATGGATGGAAGATGCACCTGTAGTGTAGTACATAATAATAATCTCTCTGCTCATCAAATTCCATCCTCCGCAAATCAATTCCACTTGATAAAAGGCTTTGGAATGTTGCTATATATGATGATGAGCAAGTGGGAACAAGACCATAGCATAGTTGACTCGGTATAGTGTGCAAAAGGAAAAAGTAGTCGATGTGAACGACGACGACGACGAAGAAGAATATAAAAGTGTTAGAAAATCGATACAAAAAATTAGGTAGTCTAATGAACGCTGTCAGTACATGTACGATTGCTCGTCTGCAACTTGGCTAGCTGGCTTGGCTATAGGCATGCCTGCCCGTAAGTATGTATAACAGAATGACAAGACAAATTTGTTAAAGCATCCCCAATTTCAAGCTAAAACAGGGGATTTAAAACGGTACTTTGTTTCAAAGTTTAAATCTGTCTCCTCAACTCAACCAATTCTTTTTTCCTTTTTCACCAGGAGCATCTTCTTCTTCTTTTATACATTGTAGACGACTCGCAAGAAATAGAATGGACTAAAAAATCGACGAATGAGTTTGAAGTTGAGTCAAGCGAAAACTGATTCACGGTGAAGAATAGAATAATAATAATGAGGAATTATAAACACCAGGTTGAAGAAATGTGAGAAATTCTTAAACTTACTACTTTAAAGTTTGCCATTATTGCTGAATGGGGGACTAGAAGAAAAATAGGGATTTGCGGATTTTCCTCCACTCAAGATTTCCCCTCAGACATTTTTGCGTACTTACTTAGTCTGGCTCAGATAAAGCCAAATCAGCAGCAGAGATATAATAAAAGGTGAGATCAGATCGAGGCAAGAAAAGCATTATTTTATTTATTTCCACCCTCTCGTGACTTTTACGATGCGGATTGATGCAACCCTTCACTCACTCTCAGGAGGAGAGTACGCCAACCTGATAATGACAGATCTTGATGTCCTTTGGATATATGGTAGTACCCCCTCTGAAAGTAAAAAGTGTGAAGCGGTTTGATGCCATGGCCAAATTTACGCCCGTCACACCCCTTTGAAGGCGCGCCCGATGCCAAACTAGCTGCACTAAAAAATTCGCCAAAAATCCAATTTTGTTCGGATTTTCATAATAATTATATATTTGTGATCCCAGATAGTCCCTTTATCATATTCAGTTGCAAAATTAACTTTTCAGAAATTTTCAATATTTTCGAATATTTCCTGAAAAGGGCATGGCTTGAAAAAATTCCAAATTCCAAAATAGTTCAGATTGATATCTGATATGATAAAGCAACTATTTGGGATCATAAATATGTAACTATTATGAAAATCCGAAGAAAATTGGATTTTTGGCGAATTTTTTAGTACAGCTAGTTTGGCATCGGGCGCGCCTTCAAAGGGGTGTGACGGGCGTAAATTGGGCCATGGCATCAAACCGCTTCACACTTTTTACTTTCAGAGGGGGTACTACCATATATCCAAAGGACATCAAGATCTGTCATTATCAGGTTGGCGTACTCTCCTCCTCAGTCACCCAGTAAAGAAGTAAAAAGCCACGCAGCAGAAAATAAGTATGAATCCGGTTTTTTTTCTTTCTACTCAAGTACACCATTTGTACGCGATTGCTTCTAATTTATACTTTTGTGGGAGTAATTAAGTGCTGTGTTGTTAATATAATCTAAATAATTCATCCGTGCCGAGTTGTAAAAATGTGGATAAGAGGACGAGAAAAAGGAAAATGCAATTTATGAATGACGATAAATACAAATAAAACGGGAAATATACACATTTTCAACTTTTAAAATATTTAGCGACCAATCGACAGCGAAAAAAAAGTGTCCCACAAACAATGTCACGTTGCAAAATTCAAGAATGCAAGTTTAGGTTGACTGACATGAAAACGTGAGGAGGAGAAATGAAACGAATGAGCATTGCCATTATATCAAAAAAGTACCACAAACTGAGCCATTTCATTAAGATGTAGAAAAAAAGTACTTTTAGTGCATATGTCTGTATGCACTTTATAACGCTGCATTCCATTCCATCCGGCAAAAAAAAGAGAGGCGGAGGAGAAGGAGGAGGGGACGAGAATGCATAAAATTTTACAAGAATGAAATCTGCACAATGCATTTTTTTACGGAAATCAAACCGAATGCTAACCTGGAAGGCATCGTTGAGTGAGTGCATCCGCTGCCTTTCACGTTCATTTGATTCTAGACGCCGAAGATTCCTTTCTCTCGCGGACAGCACTTGTTTTCTCTTCCCGTCGTACCCGTCCCCGCGCCCTCTCGACTTTTCCGACGCTTCAGAACCATTCCCCTCGTTGGCGTCATCGCCACAACTCTGACTTCCCCCTTGACCTTCGGAAGACCGTTTGTAGCGTCGTTTCCCATTTGCCGTGCCGCCACTACTACTCGTTCCACCGCCACGACCGGAAGTGGACCCCTCTTCTGACGCACCGGAAGAACAGCTCCCTAACCCAAAGTCTTTTAAAGAATAGTTAAAACTGTTGGAATTGTCGCCATCACTGCTCTCGTCGTACTCGTCCAAGTCTTCTTCTCGTATGTGGAGCAAGTTGTCGGCAGCCATGTGGATTTCTTCATCGTTAAATATATCTTTAATTAATGAGTCGGGGATGTCGTCGGGAATGTCGTCGGGAAGGTCGTCGCGGAGGAGGTCGCGGACTGGGCGTTTTCGACCACGGGTCGTGGTAGACAGTTTATTACTCTCTTTGCGGATTCCCGTCATTGTGTTGACTATCATTACCTGCGAAAAAAGATTAGTCATTAGAATCTAAGTTATTGCGATTGGTCTTATTTTTTATTGGTACAGTTAAAATAACTGCATGCACAATCTCATTATTTTAATTCGAGGGGCGATTCTGAGACACTTATAGAAATCTTAACTCTATTTTATGCATAATTGCGAAATTATCTCCTAATAATCTTAAAATTACGAAGCGACTCACTTTGCTAAAAGTAACCCTCCCCTTCATTCTCTGAACTTGCAACACAATTAATAAGTTTTCAATCAATTAATTCACAAAGGTTGACGGACACATTTCGCAGAACTCGTGTTGCACATAAATATATGTGTACATACCATTACATTCACCTCCTCTAACGAATTGCGACAAGAGTAAATAAAATAATAACATAAAATAAACCTTCTTCTTCTTCCGCCTTTTAGAAGCATAATTGAATTTTTAAAATTTCCACGTAATGTTGTCTTTACCAGGATCAATTTGGTTCAACGTGTTACGATTACGACCACAAAACAATTGACGGCTGATTAAGTGATGGTGGCAACATTTATATTTATACAAGTACAAATTTGTGTCAGATGATAGTGGTAACATCAACAGTCAGTCAGCCAGCAGCGTCAAATCCTCTGTACATACATCCCTAAGTACTTATGTACTTTAATAAATTACCCGACCGAAAATCCCAACCTAATCAATCAGCTCGTCATCAACGACTTAATGACACAATTGAGAACGAACGAACGGGGAGGTGGGTTTGGATAATGATAAATTGGTCCAAATTTACAAATCCTAATTCAAGCTGGGAAATACGTCCTGCAAATAATGTCCTCTCAATCTGAAGCTATAATAATAAATAATAATAATACATTTATAATCTCGTCCTTGGATGATTCGCATTGTATTCCTTAGTATCGTGGTCGGTCGTCCAGCAGCTTATCGTGGTCCGACCTTCAGGAATTATTAAATGCAAAAGAGGACATTTTGGTAAATATTGTGTGTTTGCTGGACACATTTTGAAAGGATGCGTTTTGATTAATAAGAGCTTGTTAAATAGAATTTTGTTGCTCCACATGCAAACACGAGTCTGAATAACTGGCCGAATTGGAATGTGCCATTATGCAGAATATTGCAGAAATGTGTGGTGTGGAAATTATGCGTGGAATCCTTCCTGCAAATTATTTATCTCGATAATATAATGTCTTCAGTAGAACTGTGCTAATCGCCTCTGCTCAATGTCCAACTATTTAACTTACTTTACTTTTGGTTTTATTTTACCACCCCGTAATAAATGATGATGATGAGGATGATGGACGCTGAGAATTTTATTACATAACTTATAACTGATAACTAACTAACTAACTAACTAACTAACTACTATGTAGCATGGTATTTGTAGCACGTAAGTAAAGTAACACACATGACGAGCCGGCATTTCGCATATTGTAGATAAGTGTGTATTGGATTAGAATTGAAGATAAGGTCACTCCAATTTATTTATTTGCCGGCTTATCATCCTCACTCTTCTCCTCTTCTGGGATGTCTCGTCTAGAGAGGTTTGTAATCAAATGTGGACCAAATTAAGTGCATTTCCACTACACTCATTTCCATTTTCACAATGTTCACGTCTACTCTACTACTACTAATTCTTGACAGTTTTGTGTAGATAATTATATACATGTATGCATACTTAATAAACTTTGTACTTACTATGTACTTACTTACTGCCCTTCTCCACCGTGACAACAAGTGTCACCCCATTACAGCAATCAATCAGCAATTAGTTGTTAATTTCTCAAATCAATCCTTCTTCGTGGTCATTAAGCTTAGCATTTTCGAACCTCGTTAACTCTCCTGCTTTTCCTCAGAAGCAACAAAATCTACGAGGGCACCAGGTTACCAGACGAGATCAATAATATTCATGCTTCAAAATCTCACATTATTTATTATCGGTTATTTTACAACCTCATCATGATTATTCTCTGCACCCGCACCCGGCACAACACAGATTTAATCCTGGCTGCACGATTTTATAGCATCGCACGTCAAATCATCAAACGGTCAATCACAGGAGAGCTCGAGAGGATCATCATATAGCGTTTGGCTCGCAAGATTTTTTGGCGAGACTGCCTTTTTTTGTATCGCGTAAGTATACAAATATTCAACAAGAAGAAGAAGAGTAGTCGATCAGAGAATGACAACTAGGTGTGAAAAAAAGGCTCAGGAAAAAGAAGTCAGCATCCGTAGAGCATGAATGACATGGTGGCTGAATATTCTATGCTCGCATTTCGTCGTCGTCAACTTCTTCATCGTCTCCTACTTTTCTTTTCTTTTCCTCTATTCTTCGTATCTGAGTAAGAAAAATGTGTGTATTTTGTGCATCCCAAAAATGAACGGCACTTGTGTCCTGTCGACCAGAGGGGACCATCAGCCAACCATTTATTTTATTTTTAGGCAGGCAGGTCTAATAAAAGTGACCACTAAACAGCCAGCACTCGGCGTGCCTAACCATTTTCATGTAATGTAACCGGTTTCTGTTTCTTCTACCCCAAAAATGCATGAATTTAGAATACATTTTTCTCTCCCGAGTTTATATGTATGCTATTTTTATGTACATTTTATTTTATGTAGTCGTCTCGCCTCTGCTTGTTTATTCATTCTACTTTATTTACCGGCGTATAAATCTTTTTTTATACATGCATATTTTGTGACATTACAGATGTGCAAAAATAAAAAATAAATAAATTTTGTGCAAGCAAAAATTAATAAACTCCACACTCCATGTTTAGAAGAGAACAATTGAAATTACCCTTAAAAATATTCCCCTCGTGGAATCATAAATACAATTGAATGAATGTATGCGTTTGCAAAAACAAAAATTAATATCAGAATACAAAACTTTTTTACAACTTACGATTTATGCGCAATCTGTCCCCATGCAATAATACTCATTGTCAAGTATGCATTACTTCTTGAAAGTGCGGCTCCGTATTAAAAAATTCACTCTTTGAAATAATAACATTTTGCCAATGAATAACTTGTCCTAGTTCAATAAACTGAGTCAATTTCGCTGAATGCACGGATAAATTCACACGGTTGATGTAGACTTTTAGACAAATCGGGGCAGAATTAATAGTAAATAATAATTTCTTCGCCTTGTCGACGACACGTTCCTCTCTGAAACTGAAACTGTTCTCCTTAAAGTCTACCTTATGATGGACTTTGTGTGTATTTTAGCTGTGTTGTAGATATTTTTCTCAATTTTATTATTTCACCTGAGAAAGAAAGAAATTGCATGAACGCTGTATGATTTTGCTTGCATGAAGTTTTTAGAGAATGGATGGATGTTGTTGGCTCGAGCAGAACTCTTCAACTGGTTTCAGCTTCAGCCTTTACTTTTTGCATGAGAGTCTCTCCGTCATGAATGCAAACTATATAATGTGGCAGAGGAGAGAAGCTGTAATGTAATGAATACATGAAAGTATAGGACTGAACAGGACGAAGGAATGGGAATGGAATTATAAATCTGACTCGGTTTACAGTCAGTGCTATTTAAGCTAGTAGAAAAGAGAAGCTATGTATCTGCCCACAGGTTATTTGATGGCAGAAGTGGTGCAAATGTTGCATTAAACTGGGTAAAAGTTGGTGCAGACTTGAAGTAAATGTGGGGATCATTATCATCTCATCAGGAGGGATGAGACTAAAAGAACCAGGAGGGAGAAGACCAAGACCAAGAAGAGGATCTATTAGAAGAGGTACGAAATGGTAAGATGCAGATATTTATTTACCATGTGCCACATAAGTACAAGGCATCATTACTGCTCCGATTTATTGGTCATTTTGGACATATTTATGTATGCAGTTGTATCCACATACATGGGTTTTGCCGGTGGGGGAGTTAATTTCGTGGAAAAGTTAATATTAGTCGCGTTATTAGCTTAATTACGATAATGCTGTTGTAATGATGATCGTTATTATTGAGAAATGAAAGTTGGTGGAGGATATATATTCCGTAATGGATTGTGTACGAGGTTTCGTTCGTGTGTGCCATATCCGCTTTTGTGAATGGCGATGAATGCACGCTTAACAAGAGTTGATGATTGTAGATTTTGGCAAAAACGGAACACATATTTTTTTCTATTATGGCTGGTTTGCTATATAAATAAGCAGAAAAAATATGCAGTAATTTATTATTATACGTTTCGTGACGTTATTGGGACTTAAAAAACGTGGATTATTTATTTATCTTGCATGAAACTGTTTCTGTGAAACGGTTACGAAATTTATGGATTAGAGATGCATACATATTTGTCTCATCTCACCTTCATCGCATCCCGAAAAACGTTAGTGGTACTGGTGGGTGATGACTGTTTCTTTTTACCTGGAAGAAACGAGAGATGTGGGATTCTCCGCTGCAGATGGATATCGCTTGGTTAATTTTATTTATATGCATGAGAAATAGCATTTGGCCATTTGCATGCATCCCATACCTGTATATTTCATACCACGATTTGTTTTATGCAAATGACATTTCGCTAGAAATAATTCACACATGGCTAAGTCCACTTTCCGACCACAATTACATGCTATATTGCTGCTGCTGCTGCTTCTGCTGGTCTGGTCGTGTCACGTTCAGCATGTTCTTTATTGCGATGACAAAAGAACATTATTACATGACGGGTAGGTTATGGAGATCTTTTTGAACGGGTGACATTTTCTCAAAATGCGCGACTTGAATCGTAACAATAAAAGATAATGTCACAAGGAAATGTTTGTTTGTTAACGTGTTACAAGATTTATTGCATCCCTCGAAGGAAGAAGAAACTGACAGATTAAGACAAAAACGGGGAGAAAAAAATCTGTGCGAATTCATGCACGCACAGATATCATTTTTTTAATGTTCATTGAACTGTATCAATTCAAATGTAAGTAGGAACATTTAAAAGTCAGTCAGTCCAATCATCATCACGACCACCAGAATCATCATCATCACCCTGGCATAACATGAATTTCAATTGTTTTTGCAACTCTATTTTTTTGACGGGAAGAAGTATGCATAAAAATTTATCATCCGCTCTGCTGGAACACTTTATGGTATTTTTTTCTCTTTTTAAATTCTTCGCTCTTCTGAACGACATAATCATAGCGGATTTCGGCAAATGGTTGGTCGGTACAATGAAAATTAAATTTTTCCTGTAAATGTCAAACCCGTAAAAGCGCGACGAGCATATAATGCATATCTCTTACTTATTTAATTAATTATAATGTACCCACCGAGTAACAAGTCGTTTCAGGAATGAGTCGAAATTAAATGTAAATTTCTCCACGCAGTTTAAGACAGGAATTGCGCAGGGTGATCTTTGGACGATTCCCAGCAAGAGAGACAGGAATGTCGTTGTTGAAATGTACAGACGCAAGTTTTGTGTATGCAACTACGACTTGGTTACATCAAATTCAATCCAATCCATGTGCTGAGGTGACACTTGTTGAATATCTACACGTGGATTTTGGGCCAATATTTTTTTTACCGAGGATAGAATATTTTTATTTATTGCCAATACATAAAAACGCCCTGCCCCATTATCATTCATTCGATATTTTGTGACCACGTTGTCCTCACTGACTGACTAATTGGTAGTAAACTTGTCATTTAATTGCAGACCTAAATGGAATGGACACAAGACCTCTCTGAAGGAGCGTCACCACGTTGCTGCTGCTGGGTCGGTAAACTGATTAGGCAGTCTTTCTCTCATAAATACCTGCCTGATTACTGTCAAACTGCGACTAACAATTAAGAGCGTAGACCGAGTTCATGGACAACAAACTTGTGTATGCATTAAATTTGCATACTAAACTTACCATCCTTTATATTATTATACAACATACGTACATAACTAACTACCAAAACTACTAATCCTCCACAAATTTTCTCATCATCACAAAATAACAAAATCCGGACTGGAGGTGTACATGGTACGTATCACAGCGCAGTGAGGATGAGGACAACAACACGGATAACATAAAACCGGTTTCAATTTTAGCTTTAACAGCACAAAAAGAAATGGAAACATTGAATTGAATGATATGATATGAAATTATACGTATGAGAAAATGCCCACAGGTTTTTATTACAATTTCAGCGGGGTCCGTATTATATTTGCTGACAAGCATTATCAAACAATGTTTGTCACGTGAATAAGCAGTTAAATATGGACACTGTTGTTAACACTGTGGGTTAAGTTGTTGTGGGTCAGATTCAAACTCAATGGCAAAAAATGCTCGTATGTCCATACATTCATCAGGGCAAGTCAGTTAACTAGAGTAAATAATGTGAAGGATGAATATGAGAAAGATGAGATGATGATGCATATTGCATATACAGATCTCTGTATGTGCTTAAATATAAAGTGTAGGAGTAAATGTTTAGTGGTAGCATTGCAGTAATGTAATGAAAGCATAGTAAATACATAAAGGGTTGTCAGTAAAGTAAAGTGTTAGGTGTGTTCACTTACATTTTTTTCAACGAAACTTGGTAACTTGTGTATGTATGTATATAACTTGGCAAAGTAAGTACTGACATTGGCTTTGGTTTTACTACTACAACTTCTTCTTTTTGGTGTAGGTGTGTTAATAAAAGTAGGTTTAGTATCAGCTGCCAATATTTTTATTTTTGTACTAAATCTTTCCAAAAGAGAGAGGAATACGGACTGAAACTTGGTATCAAAATCCTCTATTTGCTCTTCTTCTTCTATTCCTCATTTCTGGGATTCTTTTCTATTTGTTGTATTTATACGTACATTTTTGGGTGAAAGAACAAAATCTTTGGGTATACATACATGGATCATTTGCTTGATACGTGAGTCACAATTTTGTCTCGTCAGTTTGACTGAATTGAATTGAAATCCATTTCTGCCCTTGTGTTACAGATGAAAGTAGTAATAAATTGGAGCGTTCCGTGTTCCGTTTCTCTGATTGAAATGGATCCCACTAAAATGCTGTGGAAAACACAATGTGAGTTCGTAACGGAGTTTTATTATCTCCTTTTTATCGCGTATTAAGACAATGGGGTGGCTAATACATAAGTAGGTAAGGGACCATGAAGTTCATTCATTCCTTATTTTTTTAATGTAGTGCTCGAGCTTGTTAGTGAAGCACCAAAAGCAGTCTGCATCGAGTGCAACGGTATCAGCAAAAATCACCGATTTTTTAGCGCCCCGTCGACCCCATCCGCTTCAGGGGACGATGTCAACATTGTTGTCGGAGGTGGTGGTGGTGGGAGTGAAAGTGACCTGAGCGGCCATTCCATTGGGCTATCTTCGAATAATGGTGTAGAATCATTGGACGGAAATGGACACATTCACGATTTCGAGTCAGTTGCTCCTCTAAGCAGTGGAGAAAACAGTTTGGAAAAATTAACCCATATAATTCAAGTAAATCTGCAAATCGTGGATTCCTTAACGGCCGATACCGCAAGCGATGATTGTCTTGATGCAAATAATCCTGGGGGTGATGAAGTTCCTCTGAATAATAGTAAAAATAGGCTCCAAGTCGTCAACGACGATGTAGTAATAGAATCCTTAAAAGTTCATGAAAATGGAGATAACAATGAGAGACGCCGCAGCTCAAAAACCGCCGCTGCGCCCTGGCATCGACCAAGCATTTACTATTTTAATCCGTTTGGTAGCTCATTTCATGGCAACTTGAGTCGTCCCAGTGTTAAGCGTTTGGTTAGTTTATGAGTACACTATTTACTAATCAAATAACAAACATAATTCATTGACACAATTATATTATTTTAGCTTGCAGAGGATGGTCACTATCTAGTCAGAAAACGGGCGGAAGATGGGGACGACGAGTTTGTGCTAAGTGTCAAGTGAGTTGATGAGTCATAATTTTCTATATTTATGCATAAGTCATTAATTATTTAGATTATTACATTTTTATTTTTTTGCAGATTTAACGGACGCGTCAAAAATTTTAAAATAACTTTTGACGACACGTCTGGCTTGATCTACTTGGAAAGTCGAGAAAAAGGGTTTGAACATTTAGAGGATTTGGTGCAAGACGGCCTCGTCACGATGTAATGAAGGGTTTTAAATATTTTGCCCATTAAGAACTCATTTTAAAATAATTCTTACCACAATAAGCAATTCATGACAATACGTATTTATTTTTAAGGTACGTTGAACACAGAGCAGGTCCTTACATTGATTTACTTTACGACCTCACCCGAAATGACCATCATCGACTTGGCGGAGGATGCAGCAAATATTTGGATTCTCTCAAGACCAACAACAGGTTGGGAGGTGCTTTCACTGCGGATTGCATTTATGAATTCTTTGAGAATAGTGGCAACAAGCCGGGTGAAAGCAACGGAGGAGCTGTTGCGAAACCAAGTAACAGGTTTGGTGGACAAAAACAGAATTCGCCAAGTCCAGTGTCATCCTTATCGGGGAGCTCGTTGGTAAAAGAAATTATGTTTTCTGATTGACTTTTAAAAATCTGATCAATTTTTTAAATTTGACACTTTTTTTCTTTATTACAGGAAAGAGTTAGACAGCCCGACCTAAAATCACATTCCTTCAAAATACATACGTTCCAGCAACTATCGAAATGTCAGATTTGTCTAAACTTTCTCTGGGGTTTATCAAGCCAGGGTTTGCTTTGCCAGCGTAAGTAGTTACATATTAATTCATTCTGTCAAATTATTAATGTATTTCGTATGTATACTACAGATTGCGGTTTAACAATCCACGAGGCATGCATTGCAAAAGTGCAGCACGAGTGTGAGCCAGATCTCACACAATTCGCAACCATATTCGGAATTAGCTTAACCTTGTTGGTGAAAGCCACTCCAGGATGTAGACCACCGTTCCTATTGCAAAAATGCATTTCAGAAATTGATAAGCGTGGTTTACATGTGGAGGGGATTTATCGAATATCCGGTTCCAGAGAGGCGTCAGATCGGTTGAAAACGCTCTTAGAAAGAGGTAATAAATTCGTCATGTTTTTACTAATCAGGAACTTTATGATATCGGTAATTGTCAAACATTCCCTTTTCCACTGCCACAAAGTAACCTACAGCGTGTACGAATTAATAATCAATATTTGTAAAATAAGTTTACGACGTAAACGAGTGACATGAGCATAGTCTACAAAAATTAAGTCATTAATTTCAACTACTTTTGTACAGATCGTGATTCTGCCGATTTAGCTGGACATTCTGACATACATTCCGTAAGAAGAATGCGAACTAAATTTATCAACACAAAAATTCATACATTCTTTAATTCATTACAGATGTGTAGCATTGTGAAACAATTCCTGAGACTTTTGCCAGAGCCTCTCATCAGCGAAGAAGTTTTCCATACATTCCTTAACAGTAACACAAATACCAATCTTCAACGTGCCACGCCAGCCACTACGGGTAATATTTACACAAATATTTACATAATTATTTTTAAATTTCAATTACAATACCAATTTTTATAGTTGTTCCTCCCTCCATAACAGTGGATTCTGTGCGGAGAGAACTAAAGAAATTGCCTCCAGCCCATTACATAACGCTGAAATATTTGCTACAACACCTCCACCGAGTTGCCGAACGAAGTGAACAAAACAAAATGAATCCTTTTAACCTGAGCTCCGTCTTTGCGCCGAGTCTCCTCCCCCCGGCACAAATTTCGATCGAAACCTTGCAGACGGGAACAGTATTGTTAGAGCTTATGATTACACATCAACGAAACTTGTTTCCAAAATGATTTATGATTACTATGTAATGATGATGATTCAACAATTATTCCTATTTCATGTGATGTCAACTTTTATGTATGTTTTTAGTTGTAAGTAACAAAGAGTATATAAATTTCTATCCAGTCCTTCTTCCTAACTGTGTTTTATGAGATTATATAGAAACAAAATGTCTATTGCATGCGGGTAATATCGATATAAATATTGTGACCTCGTGAGATTTTTGAGATTTTATTGAACAAGAGAAAGTAAAAGTACAATAACAAATGTATGTAAGTTTGGGTAATTTTTTGCGAAATAAAGAATATTATGCATTAAATTTTAAATTGGTCATTTTGTCACGACTGAAAAATTTCTCACAAATTGGAATTCCCTAATTTTGTGCATTTTTTTACGAGAATCACAATGTAAGACAAAGAAGAGATCTGCATGAACTAACATATTACCCCGGAGAAATCTGCGATTCACTTGATTTGCAAAAACCAAAACAGACGTTAGACATCTACTGTAGAGTGTCAAATGAAGAACAAAATGTGACACAATTTTTCTAAAATAGTTTAATTTTACTAAAATATTTTTATTTGGGACAGAGTTGTCTTCGTTTTTCATTGTAATACAATTGTATTAACTGAGCACAAGTTGATTAGTTAGTTAAAGGTTAAAATTGACAATCACTTTTGAAAATATTTCAAAATGAACATCATGTTGGAAGTATTATTGAAAACGCGAGTGAAATATTTGGCGATTGGAATTATTCTTTTGTTCTTCATTTTCCTCTTCTTGAGTGGGATGGATCATCGCGTTGAAGAAGAACAATTGGGAATTATTCAGTACAGGAAAAACGTCTTGTCACGCGTAAGTTGGTTACAAATTTCGATTTTTCGATTTTTAGTTCGAAAAATAAATACTGACTTATTCCATTGCAGGAGGCAGAACAGTTCCGAAACCAGCGAAGTCAATTACAAAAGAAAGAACAAGGTCCATCAGATTTCAAAGTACAATTCATTTCCGGAAAGGAATTGGCCAACGAAGTTGACAATGAACACAAATCATTTCAAGTCCATAGGGTTAAAATGATGAATATGGAGAGAAGTAAGGTATGTATGTGCGGAGTGTGAAAGAAAATCAAGTACCATTTTAATTATTGGGATTTATAGAATAATTAAACACTGCTAACGGCATATTTATTGCTATATTTAGATAACAGTAGAGTGCCAAGATCCATTTTCGGCTTTCGGAAAGGTGATTCCAGCTGGTGGAACGTACGAGTTTCGAGTCACCGACCTCTTCGCGAAACGCCACTACTGGTGCACAGGGCGTTATGGAAGTTCCGAATTTATGTTCAAAGCCTACGGTGAAGGAGCGCCACGAGATAACAATCAAATCACCTTGCATAAGGAGGGTGCTTTCATCAATGGAAAATCTATGAATATGGAGGACAGTCCAATGAAGTACAAATTGCCACCAAAGGGAACAATTGGCAGAAATGCATTGGGGTCGAATGTGATAAGACATCCCTATCCTGCCGAGCATGAACAGGATGTTCCCCTCCCAGACCATCCGGAAGTAGGAATGGTTGACCATGTTGAAATTGATGATCCAATTCCGTCATAAGAAATACTTAATGCGTTGTTATCTATCGTCACATCGACAGCATTTCAGAAAAAGACTGGTCAATCAATTTACATTTATATATTTTAAAACGAATGGTTACAGCTCAAATCTATGAAATTGTAAATTGACGTTATTTTGTGAAATGTACATTGTTTTTTTAAATTTTTCTGTACTTTATTGAATTGATGATATCCATGAAAGGGTACGTTTATTCCAAACCAACAAAATAACTACTACTTTTTTCTATAAATGTAGTCAAATTGCTACAAGCAAGTGTAGGTTGACCATAATGTATTTTATTAATTATGTTGAATATTTTGAATTGAATAGATTAATAAGTTGTTGAATAGTTACATATTTGAATTTTTATAATCTCTGAGTACATCGGTTAATTTACCTTTAGTAGTTCTCCTATTAAATCTAGTCTACTCCATAAAAAATGATGATGAGACGATTAACCAAGCTTTACTCAAATTATTTACTCAAAATGAAATAAATTGTCCAAATCATTTGTGAATATAATATCATACAAACAACTGTGAAATCTTGTATAAAATTCTAAACTATTTCATTCATTCCCATTCCTTAATACTTTGTGTTATCAGTTCTCATATCGCATATTATAAGCTCATCATACGAGTATAACAGCGTCTAAAATCAGCAAAGCTACATACAGGCCGTGCTGTGTAAATGCATGAGATTATTCCTTTCTCTTTCCATCCGGCTGCCACTACTGCTCGTCTTTAAACGGAGCCCAAAATCTTATTAAATTTGATAAATATCACTAAAATTCGACAATTAATTGTGCTTTCTTCCAAATAAATTATTTATCCCGGTGTAATTTTTTGCGTAATCAGTTTGATCTCTAAAATATACGTCCAATTTCCCAATTTATCCGTAAATCGTTGTGACTGTGAGCTGTCTGTAATCTATTCAATTATTCGTCATTTGCCAGGTTGCACATTTTAATTGTTAATTGCAAACATATTGACTTGATTACATAAGTGATAAATGTGGATTTGCACATGTATTTATTCACAGTGTGAATTTCACACTGCCTAAAGACTGTTATTATATCTACCCAGTTTTATAAGATTTTTTGATAAATAATACTTCTATTGACATTTATTACACAAGTTCTTAAGTTATTTGAACATATTAAGTTTAATTGAGCGAAAGTTTAATTTATTTAGTTAAATCATTATGTCTGTGAGACAAACACCGTTAACATGTCACGGTCATACGCGACCCGTCGTGCACTTGGCGTTCAGTGCAATTACGGAGAGTGGATATTTCGTAATGTCGGCGTGTAAAGGTGACAATTTATGAATATTTGTTAAATTAATTTGTAAGTTTCTGATAATAATTACCGTGTTAATTTGTTGTGTTACAGATGGAAAACCAATGTTACGCCAGGGCGACACCGGTGACTGGATTGGGACGTTTGAAGGTCACAAGGGGGCAGTTTGGGGGGTGGCTTTGAATAGAGATGGGACTAAGGCTGCTACGGGGGCAGCGGATTTTAGTGCCAAGGTTAATACAATTACAATCTCATAGTAATTGTAGACGTAATTTAATGACAATTAATATTTTTTCGCAGATTTGGGACGCTATGAGCGGAACGGAAATACATTCATTTCAACATAATCATATCGTCAAGTCTGTCTGCTTTAACAGTAACGGGACCCAATTGGCGACTGGAAGTAATGAGAAATTGATAAGAATTTTCGACTTGGAACGCCCCGATGCTGGTAATGAGGACTACATAAAATTTATGTCGGAAAAGCTTAATGCAAGATAATTAAATTACAATTTGTTGCACTAATCAGATGCCCTGAAAATGGCTGGTCACGAATCCAACCTTCGTCACTGTGCCTTCTTCGGGGATAAGTGCGTAGTCAGTTGTTCGGATGATAAGACCCTTCGACTCTGGGATATCAATAGTGCTCAAGCCGTAAGAAAGTTAGAATTCCCCTGCGTTGTCGAAGATATTCAGGTTGGTTTAATTAATTTTAATTCAAGTTGGTTTAATTTGAAAAATGAAAAAAAAAATTTAATTCAGGTTTGTTACGCCACGCGGATCTTGACTCTTACGTACGGAAATATTGTTGCCTTTTGGGATTTGGATACGTAAGTTATTATTGATTATTTGTCATTCATATTATGAACAAGAAATAATGGTAACTCATTCCACTCAAGAACAACTAATTGAGAAATAACGTTTATGCTTTGGTCTTGGTTTAGCATGACATTAATTAAAGAGTTTAAAGTTCCAACCCAAGTACATTCTGCTTCCTTGAAACCTGATCAATCCATTTTCGTTTGTGGGGGTGAAGATTTCAAAATTTATAAATACGACTACAACTCTGGAGTCGAGCTTGGTAAAGTTAATTTATTTTCGTTAAGAACTTTTATTTGAAACAATTTGTTAATCCAGATAATATTTGAACAGATGCATTTAAGGGACACTTTGGACCTGTTCACTGTGTCCGATTCTCTCCTGATGCAGAATTATATGCCTCAGGTTCTGAGGACGGTACCCTCCGACTTTGGCAGACTAATGTGGGAAAGAATTACGGCCTTTGGAAATGTGTACAAGGAACTGTTGCAGAAAATGGGAAAGGATCTGATTTGTCAGACCTTAACTAATTAGTAAATAATAAGAATAATCGGTCCATTTTAAATATGACCACAGTATTCAAAAGTTTATGTATAAAGAAATTATCTCTGTGATTTGGTGTTCTTGGATTGGATGAGTCAGTCTTCATAAACGATATTTAATTATTTATTATTGTGCTATTTATTTGGTTAAATATGGGTTAATTTTCCAACTATTTGAAATTGATCCAATTCTATTCCCAGTGATGTTTGACGAAAAACAAAATATGTAAGTATTGGGCTCAATAAGAAAGTGTAATATGAAAATAAATAATATTTGGAATTTGTGACAAGAATTGTTAATATTTTTCGTAGCACAATTAGTGTCTTGATTTTCTTCTCTTTAAATATTCAGGTGACGCATTCATAATTGATTCGCATGTACGCAAAGCTGAGACAAAGTCGTAATCCAGTTGTTCATTTAATTGTCATGCAAAAAAATAAACCAGTGCAAATGTGATAATCAGAGTTCATGATCAGAATCGCATAAGCATAATTAAGAATTTACCTCCTGGTCAAACTGGTATCAAATCCAAGTCTTTGCTTGCTTTTATGCAATCTGATTCAGAAAACTGGTTGGTTGGTTGGTTTTGGTTTGATGACAATTGCAACAAATAACATAGGACCATTTTTCATATCGATTTCAAATTTTTTAGATTAAAATTTTCTTTTTATAAAAAAAAGTCCTCTACTATCTAAGTAATCCTATAGATTAAAATTCACACAATTAAACTTCAATAATGGCGTACAAATTGCACCAAAGTTAATAACCAAAATGCCATTCAAGGAAACGCACAGTTTACTAAACAATAATGATCAGGAATCTAGCTACAGACTAAAAAAACAATATTCAAAAAGGTTAGTGAGAATTTCATATTTAATCAAATTAATTAATTTTAAATGTATTAACAATTGAAATTCAGGTATGACAAGAAATTTATCATACTTCTAATCACATTGGCAGGACTGATACTCTTTCTTTTATGGATTAAAAGTAATTCAAAAACTAATAAATATTAAATTCGGATCATTTTCATTCCTCCTTAATTTTACAGTTGTCCAGCCGAATAATTTCCTTTCTCGGGGTGAATTTTCTTCAAATATTTTCAATACTAGTCTACAAAACACTCCACCCAGTAAAGTTCCAGCTTCCGCAACGCCTAAAACCACTGCCACCATCTCATCCATAGGCAACACTACAATCTTCCACTACAATTTCATCCTCACTGAAGGAACAATTAGTCCTGATAACTACGCTCAAAACGGTTACCTCATAAACGGTCAGAGTTCTCCCGGTCCGGAGATTCGCATTAAAAAATATTCCACTCTTATCGTACACATCACGAACAAACTAAAAGTCGGCGTCACTTTCCACTTTCACGGCATCCACCAGAGCAAATCTTTCCTTTCCGATGGAGTGCCAATGGTGACGCAAAAAATAATTCCCCCAGGTGGAACTTTCACCTACGAGATTGACACCTGGCCACAAGTTGGAACATTCTTTTATCACGCCCACACCGGTCTGGACATCATTTGGCTGTATGGGCCTCTAAATATCGAAGATGATTCAAATTCACAATCCTTTCCGGCAGCTTATCAATACGACGAAGACAGAGTTTTCACCCTAAGCGGAATTTACCACGAATCTCTGACCCAGATTATGACTCGTATCACTGGACCGGTACATCAATATCCGGCAGTCGCATCGAGCATAGCGCTAAATGGAAGATCGTACGGACTATGGGGAACAAAATCGAACGCGGCTTACAAAAATACCACCGGATATTACGTCACAAATGTCGAGCAAGGGAAAACTTATCGGTTCCGATTTATCAATGCAGCCTCAGACTCGCTACTTTGCTGTAATGTGACGGCACACAGTTTCACGGTAATCGAGACCGACGGGGTGTATGTCGACCCCATCGTCACGGACCATATCGTCATAACGCCAGGTCAGAGGTACAGCGTTCTTATCAAGATGAATCAACCCATCGGCAACTATCACATAAGTTGTAAGCAAATGGAAAGCTACGGACCTCTGAATGGAATTGGGATCCTGCATAATGACGGGGCCTCACCCCCCACGGACAAAATGTTGAGGGAGGACCGTGTCGGGGAAGAAGCTTTGCCGTTGGACAATTGGATTTTGGACCAACTACACCCAAATGTTGCTCTGGGACAGATCGATTTATATAAAGTTCCGAAAAATGTGGATCGCGAATTTGTAATTGATGCATTCGAAGCTGTTGTGGGTCAACAGCATATTTATCTTGTTAATGGACATTATTTCGAAGAACCAATTATTCCGTATTTTATGCAGGTTATTTAATTCACATATAAAATTGTAACCCAACATTTATTTACATGTGTACCTTAAAAATGTTTATATACACTTTCAGTTAAAGCAAGGCATAAATATAACCAACCCTCCTCAAGTGTTTGAAATCCTGGAAGGAGAAAGTATTCAAATTGTCTTCCAAAATCAGAGAACTGACGATTTTTGCTTCAGCCACCCCTGGCACATTCACGGTCATTCTTTTCACGTCGTAGGTCACGGTGCAAATCGGTATGACCCAATTGTCGATGGGACGCGTATTCAGAAGGATATCGCAGATAGAGAACAATTTCAATTTAGAGATTCTGTTACTGTTTATGCAAATCAGACATTAGGAGATTATACGGATGGTGCATTTTGTGGGTGGACTGCGGTCAGGTTTTCTGCACATAATCCTGTGAGACATCTTAAAATATTTAGTTTTTGAAGAGTTTCTAAGAATTGGGATGAATTTGTAATTTAAATTTTGTAGGGCTTATGGCTTGGACACTGTCACGTGACCCCGCATTTGATAATGGGCAAGAAATTCGTGATATGGGAACATTCCATTGAAGACCCATATTTGAAGGAGTTGATGACTGCTAAAAGTAATAGACAAAGGGTGAAAGCAGTGTTTTAAAACGTGCTCAAATTTATGCGAATGTGTTCATCTATAGTTTCTGTTTAGCAAATAATATACATTCTTTCGTTTAAATGTTTAATGTTCAAACATTTTAAATATCATTAGTTGAGAATTTCGTCATTAAAAATACGCCGTTTTATAATAATTACGACTCTTTCGCAAGTGTTTATGAATTTTAAGAAATCATACATAAGATGCGATCGCAATATTTTGCAATTGATTTGAATTTCTTATCGCATAGCATACATATTACCCTATGTTATCACAGTACACATAATTTATACGTATTAAATACCTACTTCTTAATATTTTTATACTCTAGTTTCATAAGAATCAAAATAAAATTATCATACATATTAAACAGTACAATTTACAAAATTTGAATTTTGAACATTATGAAATAGCATGAACACTTGTAGATAAACTGCTTAATACATATAAAAACAAACTTTCATACCAATAACTTAACTACATATTTACTATTTATCCACCTTGTCAGTCAAATAGTTATTTATAAATTGTTGTACTCTCCAAATTAGCACAAGATTTAAAACTTATCCCGAAACTGTAAATCTAGAGGACGATGGTCCCAGGAAAAAACCGCATTGCGAAGTGCAAACTGGATCTTGAAGGATTTCACTTCGTCCAGCTTCTTGGAAGAGTTTCGAACAACTGATAATTCTCAAGGAGGTGCATTTGGGCTGAATTTTAAATTGAACACAAAAATCGTCATCATTATCATCGCCAGATTGGAATTGATATCTTTTTATGCAAATAGGAACATACCCCTTGATCCGAGCAAATGCACGACACGCACGGCGACTGTAGAGCCGAACCACCCACGGCGATTAGTCGTCCACCAATATTGCATGACAGAGGTCCGGCAGCTTGCTCTTGAGGACTGACGAGTGGAAGGGGTTTGCTAATGGTGGGAGGAGCACTAGATTGTTCACGCCATGCGTCAACGTTAAGTGTCGCCAAAAGATTGCAAGGCATTCTCGGGTTTCTGCAAGGAAAGAAGTGTGCCAATTAATTTTTGCAAAAACAATCATTTATCTTATGTATGATTTACAAAACATTGTGTGGAGCATCCATTGTCCAACGCTGAATGCTTGTTGGAATTTCCATATTGTCACAGACAATCTTGGCCAGGGTCATTTTCCTTATTTCGGCCAATTGTTGGGGAGTAAAGCCGATCGACTTGTCATTCGTTTCATACCAGAATCTGTCACATTGTCGCAATTTACGGAATTGCGTGCCGATAATGCAGGTCATAACGGGACCAAGGATTCCACTCATGACTGGACGCTCAACCAGCGCTCCGGTGAAGAGATCAATGTCGTCAACGTGGGCGTAAACCTTTTTCATTAGAAAAGTATAAATTTTTTAAATTAGATTAAATGGGTCGATTGCATAACAAATAGATTTTTGTACAGTTTTGAGTCTCTGAAGGACATCGAATGGAATTTCGGTGCTGAGGTCGTCAAAATTCTGAGCTTTCTTAAGATTGCAAGCGCCACGGTAATGATTATAGCCGGGCAGACCGTGGTCCCTTCCTCGTTGAAGATTGAGCGAAATAAGGTCCAATCCACTAAATGACCTTCTCTTATCCTCGAATAAGTGATTAGTAATTTCATTACTGACAAATGGATCTGCACAGAAAAAAACAATATATCGCGGTTTTCCACGTGGGTAGCGACTAAGCTAATATTTAAGTAATAATTATAATTACGGACCCATTTGCTCCATTGGTTCTGCAATAAGACCACGAATAACCTCATCCACCATCAAAGGTTTGTACAACTATTTAGAATTAAAAATAAAGGGCATGCATTTTGTAACGTTGTCCTCATGCACAAAGAAATCGTTGGATAACCAAATGCTAAATACCATGTCCGAGTTGAAGAATCCATCCCGAAGGGGAAGATGTGGGTTCATCCCGCGATATCCGCCATCCATCCTGGCAAGATTCGGTCGAATCAAACTGTGTCCGAAACGGAAGGCTGCTGCAGCGAATTCATTGTAAATCGTGGCAGAACACCTGTGACACAATTTTGATTTTTATTACATAATAGAATGTCGGACATAGTAAAAATACCAACCTGGCATCATAGCCAGCATAATAGCCATCGTTTTGCAGGGCGAGACCGTACGCGTTGACCATGGAAGGACCAATGATTCTGGGGAGGAGCTCGTTGTACGTGACGTGTTGGTTCACGGCGCCCATAATTCTTCGAACCTGTATAAAATATGCACATGCATAATTAATTAAGGATATGTGTATTCAAGTTTATTTAAGGGTATTATTTCGGCTACCTCTTGATAAATTTTTTCGTCATTCCACTGAGGATTTATTCTCTTCATGTCATCCGCCCATTGGTTGTGTTGTCGAAGAAATACCTAAAGGAAGAGCACGTAATTTAAAAATATAAAGAAATTAGATACAAATTAGCGTCTTTCTGTGCAACTTAAAGTTGTACTTACCGTGTGCAGTGCGGCTAACGCGGGTTGTTCACTCGCTACCGTTTTTAAATGACACAAGTTTTAGTCAAGGGATTGCATTTTCTCTAAATAATTGACTTATTTACCTCTAGGATCCCCAGCATAGAAACAATAACCGGATGGTGACTTGCATTCCTTCAACGTGCCAGTCTGTGGCATGAGGGGCTTCCTTCCAGCACTACCAGTTCCATTTAATTTACCTCCACGAATTCGTAAACTGTCCGCTTTGCAAACTTCTTCCCCGTAAATTTGAGATGCATCAATGTAAGCCGAATTCTGATTAATTTGTTCCCTTGGTCCGAGCCTTTGTTGACCTGGAAGTGATCTCGTAAAGGGGATGCAGTACGGACTTCCACTCTCTCTCTTATCCGGATACCAGCTATCACCGGTGGGGACGGGAATCGGCCAACATTCCGGATGTGTTGATGAAGCACTGTCACACTCGCGACAGTTGAGAATCTTATCTTCGGGACCTTTATGGACTGGGGTCAATGTGAGGTCATGGTCCAAAAATTGAGCTATTTTTAAAAAAATACACATATCTTATCAATATAATTGTCATAAATTTCACTACATTGTATGTTATTCACTGCTCATTCATTACCGTACTGCATCAACATCAATGTATGCTTATTCGAGAGATGAGAAACGTCAATGTGGACATAGGAAGAAACATGCCTCGGACTTGGGAGTGGTCTTCCCAACGCAGACATTGACCGTGGTTTCGAAACCCCGTCGGCATACGCGGAAGGAATCATACGATCGAATGTGATCACACTCTTTCCCCAGCCAGGATTCTGCACATTGTTACACCAGCCAGAATAAGTTCGGTATGGGTTGCGAGTATCGCATGGTAAAACTTCGTCATGAACGTTGCACTTCAAAGCCCCCATGGACCCTTGGCTGACAACGAAAGATCGCAAATCAATCTCTTTCCGAACCCCACCCGTGGATCCATCTTCAAACAGGACGGATTGTCTTTTCACCCTTTGAATCCGATTGCTTGGCGTGTCATCTTCCAAGCTTTTTAAAAATGCTCGGGAAGCGAATTCTAGCAAAATTGAGGTGTTTGACAGAGCCAAGGCTTCAAGGGAAGGTGGACTAAATGCGAATGCCGTCCCGACCGGCGATTTTGCATCAGCCCCAGAATCTAAACAAGTCAAGTCAATTGTTAATTAACTATTTAAATTAAAAAGTTGACCATGTGTGCACAAAATTTTCTAAAAAAATATGTATGAACCCACTGTGAATAAAAACGTTGTCAATTTTCCTCTGTCGTTCCACCCACCCATCATTCGCTTCGTTAAAGCTGTCCAAAATCAAGGACTTTGGAATTGTAAGGAAGTCAGCAAAGAGCACAATTCTAGACAAAAATTCATTAGTCTCATTGTCAATGGGACTAATAAATATTTTAATTCTTAAACGGTAGCTAAATATGGATCATGATGCACTGTTACCTTGTTCCATTTGAAATGGAGTCGTCACCATGCGCTCGGTCATTGACAAGGTCTACAAAGTAACAAATTAACATGTGTAATAACCAATTATCCTAATTGTTATCTTCTCTTCAAATCGTTTCCTGAAATTACTTATGTCATACGTAAAACGGAAGTCATACTCTTTCGGGTAATACATAAATAAGCATCCAATCCTAAATGCATGCATATGATTTTATGTAAATTCATTAATTTTATGCCACTACAAAGCAAGTTATTCTTCTTCTCCTTTCCTTCCCAAAACCCAACCTTGAATGGAAATAACAAGTCCCGTCCTTTGAAGGCCGTCTCTCATTTAATACGCGTTGTCGTACGAGCGGAAAGAAGAAAGCAAGCAATTGACATTCCATGAACCCTTTCCTTACATTGCGAGTTGTTGAGATTTTCGAGAAGTTGAGCCCATTGTTTAGGAAGGCTTAGAGTGACCTGTTCTTCTTCATCATCAATATTGGAATGAGTAATATCATCGCTCTCCTGGTTAAAAATAGGGCCAGAATTGTTGTTATTAATGGCATGTTCGTCATCTTGAGAGAATGTCCAGTGGCCAGAATCCGGTCCAAGGTCGGCAGGGAGTGACCACTTTCCATCCGATACTGTCACCACTGCCACCACTACGACGACCAGGAGGCTCAAGGTCTCCCTGTAAATAAGTTGTTAATAATGTTTACAATCTAGATATGTACTTTCAGTTTCAGGAGGAAAACTTGACACACTTTGATATAAATAGTCCTCCAGTGCCTTAAATATGGGTACAAAGGGTAAATTTAACTGCAAGAAGAAATAGTTATGCGCATATGCACGCGTCTCAACTTTCTCATCCTCATGCAAGCGGACCGTAAATTTCTGCATTTTTATTTTCATGACATTTTATATGATTTTATAATGCCAACTGTCAGGTGAAGTAGTTTGCATGTGAGGGTAAATCATGAGAAGCACATTTTTTCGAGACATTTATTACGTGGGCGAGTAGACTAATTTGTCAAATTGTGCCGCACAGACGCAGGTGTGGTGCCTACATTTCCCTAAACAAAATTTGCATGTGGTTTAGTCCCGGTTTTAAATGGTGTCAGCGATCAAGATAACGGGTCATTTATTAAATCTGCATCTCTCTTATTCCGTATGTACATACATAATAAAACGTGACTTGATATGGGTACGTGTCAAGTAAGCAATAAAAATCTTGGATTACAAGATACAAACTAAAAAGGACTAGATTTTACTTACCTTCGTATCATGATTTTTGTTGTAAAATGCAAAAAAATACGCTAAACTCCCAGAAAAGTTATGATCAGATCACTGCACAAAACCAACAAAACTGAGAGACGGTACTCTACTCCAGAAGGAAATGTCACTGCTGAATGGGTATTTACTGATGCTCCTTCTTCTCCATGTCTTTAGTTGAAACTCTGGCTGGACACTGCGTCCAAGTGCCCTTGGTTCACCACTTTTATTACAAAGGACCTCCAACCCCGGACCAACCAGGCCACAAATGTTAATAGTCTTTTACTTGGACCATGTGCCAGGTAGGGTATTGGGAAGCTATTAAATACATATATCACAAACGACGTATTCTGTATGTACCTCGACCACAACCGACTCGAACTAGAAGTCCACTGAGGCCAAGTAAGTCATCAAAATCAAAATCAACGAAATGCATGCGGAACTACATAAGCGTCATGTTATGCATTACTTGGACCAGAAAATGAATAAATGTGAATTATGCACATGAAGATGATGCAGGTAAGTAATTCAAACATGCGAGTTTAACAGCGATGAGGAGAGATCTACTTACATACATTTTGTCTCTAGATACATCACCATCGGCTCATCTTGTTGTTGTTTCGCTGATCATAATGTTGCTTATTATGCACATTGGATTGCAAACTTTGACTCGTAAAGGAATTCATGTATTGTTACATAATACTGTGGGGTCTTTTGAATAGAGATGTTATGATATGACGGAGGTTTATATTACGTGGCATGATTTTTTAAGTGATGGTGGGTGACGTGAAATCCTTAAGAATTAGTAAACCTAGGAATTTATATGTTTACCTAAGTAAGTTTTAGTCAGAACAAAAGTATTTTAAACATAGAATGTATGTACATATGTACATTTAGAAACTAATAGCACAATAGGGCCGACCAGCGAATGGGTGAATAACGGGAATCTTAGTAACCATCTATTTTGAGACAAACTTTCTCATATTTGTGTCATAAATGAGTGACAAATCATAATTACAATGTGTCCCAAGTGGGTTCAAAACAATTCGATGCAGGAGGTACATCTGTATTTTGAGGAGGAGGAAAGTGAAAGGAAAGTGAAAACTTTTTTTGTCAAGGTCGTTTCGTCAATTGTGATGCGGATGTAGTGCATATAATTTAAAGTTAGAATTAAAGGTGTAAGATCATAGAACGTCAAACGGAATATGAGACCATCGGAAAATCCTGCCCTGATTGTAGGCAACCTTCCATTTTGATATAATTGACTTGGCAATGGTTTCCTCAATTACGTCACGGCTTGCATTTGAAATTTTATGTAGCGCTGTTTAGTTACGTGGCGACTATTGTATGTTACTTATTGTGTTTCGTTTCCAAAATTCCTGTCAGAAACTTTGTCGTTGAAACTGCATAAACTCTGACCAGATCTACGTCCATATTATGTCACCAATTTTGATCTGGACTACGTCATGGGCTCAGGTATTTTACAAGGCGAATTTCTTCCCTGTGCACAACCGGAGTCAGCTAAAGTATCGTCAGCACAAGATCTTTTATCGAGCATCCTCACCAGAAGTATGATCACTGAGGGAAATATTAATGCCAATAATGATGTTCAGGACACACTTAACATGTGTCACTTCAACCAAGAAGAGGTTAAAGATGCCTCAAATATGTATAGTTTTGCTGTAAATTTGTTATATTTACATTTGTGCAAATGTTTCCAGACCAAAGTCTTATCTCAACTTTATAGACGACTCACACTCACCGGAGGTCCAATTGATCGGTCAAGATTTATCGAAATTATACAAGCCGCAAGTCCCCAACCCATAGAGGATGTTGAGATCTTGGACACTTTGTTCAGATCGTGCGACCATGATAAAGATGGAAAGGTGAAGAGGACTAATAATTTCGCAGTAATTAAGTACGATCAAAGAGGTTAATGTTGATCGGACAAATTTTAGATCGATCAGGAAGAGTGGCTAACTATTCTCACCGTTCTCATGCGGATAGACCCTCCCGATAGTGTCAAGGACATAATTGTGAGCGATTTGGAATCACATGTTGCGACACATGCTAGTGTTGAAACAGTTGTTTCTAATAAAACAGTTAAAGTCCAATCGTCGACCACAAGTCGCCGACAAGTCGTTGACCTCAAGCCTCTCGTCCCTATTCCAAATAAGACCACACCTACTAAAAATACGCCTCAAAAACAAAAACCCCCCATCAAACCAAAGTCCAACAAGAAGCCAACAAAATCCAGGACTAAACCAAAATCAAAGATTCAAAAACCTCCACCACCTCCACCGCCAGGACCAGATCCATATTTTTCCGAATATCTTCTAGCAAAACATAGTTTGCAACTCGAGAGAACGAAAACAGCCGCCTTTCAAAGAATGAAAGACTTAATTAGTGACAAATATGAGTTTAGCGAATTATGGCAAGCTGTTAAAAGCGATTCAGATCTTTTAAATGCTTGGGCGATCAAGTCGTTCTCGACGGCAAAGTTGATGCAATCCACGAAAGCTGTGGCAGCCATACACCGAATGGGACACAAGACTGGTCCAAGGTACGTAAAACCTGGCAGTGACGATCCCGTGGTGGAAAAATATGATAGAATTTCGAACGGCGTAATATACAAGAGACCTGTTCGTAGTAGAACGTAGTGCTAAAAGTGGGGGTAAAAAAATCCCAATTTATCAGCATGCAATATTGGTGTGTGATTATTGTCGTGTGCTGAAATTAAAACAATCTGAATACAAAACACAAAATATGTACATATTCTGAGCCTCTGTTAACGAATACTGCTTGTTGCACAAAGCAAATAAGATGACTACTTAATTAATGATGATTAGTTGCGAGTAAAAATATCACAGATGATGACAGACATGAAATGACGCAGCGTGTATAAATATTTTTTACAAATACTCAGCCTTTCAAACAACTAACAATTATTTTGGAACTGGTCCACTGACTTCTTTGCAAATACAAATATATACCCGACGACGCGACGCGCAGAGCAGCAGACATAAATAAAAGCTAGTCATTCATCCCATTTTCTGCGGCATACAAATATTTATCCCATTTTCCACCAATTTCGCACCAATTCACGACGAAAGCTAATGGCAACACGTCTCTCCGTTGACCGTGACCTGGGAGATCCGTCGTGTCGTTCTTTCCTCGTGTTACGACTGCATCGATCGCAGGATATGATGTGCAGGATCAAACTAAATATGTGGCATTTAATGGAGGTGGGGATCACTCTCTCTCTCTCTCATACTTAAAATATATGCCGTAATATAATAGAGAATGACTCTACTTGACTTCTTTACTGCTCTAACTAAAGTCGGTCCACAGGATGGGATTGGATTGCTGACAGGATTTTCGAGCAGTCAGTCGCTCTTCTCTCGAGCAGAGCGATTCGCAAGTAGTCTCGGGTCTCAAAAATAGATTCGGATGTAACAATGCTATCTCTGCCAAAAAGCCCGACCCAATTGTACCCGGCTCATCATCATCATCATCACCACCATCACTTTCCTATTCAGTCAGTCAGCATAGTCGCCTCATCATTTGTTATGCTCAACTTGCTTCAAGAAGCATGGGCACTCGTCCACTCCTCGTCCCCAGCACTTGACCCGTGACCATGTTGAGGCAGGAGGGGACTCACGCATCTTTTTCTGGTGGTGGTGGACGTAGTGGTGACAGTGGTGCTATTATTTTCAAAGTGTCAATTACCATCCAGCAGGATAGGATAGGCTGGAAGAGGAGGACGGAATCTGCGGAAAAATCGGCGCCGTTTCAATGTTTCTTCAAGCCGGTGACATTAGTGTATCACGACTATTTATGAGTGGTGACGACGACGACGATATGTTGTGCGTGTTGGTGGTGAGGTGAAGTGACATAATTGGAAATGTGAAATCTCATTTTTTTGGTTGGATGATATATAATTTTGAAGTAAAAGTTTTCGTTTCGTGACAAATTTTTAAATCAGTTCAAGTTTTGGTAGAGTTTTTTTTTGAACCAAAATGAATGACTCAGGAAACGCACATGCTCCAGGTAATGGAATGTTTTGTCTTTCTCTGACGATATTTCTGTACATTTCTCTTCGAATAAAGTACTAAATACATGTCTACATGTTTATTTACGATACAGTCCAAAATTGGGTTTGAAAAGCTATATTTGTAAAATTCTTGGAATCACTTAAACACCACGGAATGCAAAAGTGCCAATCGTTCATTCATATTTTTGTGAGCAATACCATCCCGCATTTCAGAAGAAGTCATGATCTTGTTGTCAAAATTAGCGATGATGCGGTCATTCCAACCCTTTTAATTTTATCTTTAAACCCACAAATACTTACATACCTCATAAGTCATAACGATGATGAATAATCCCAAACAAGAAATAAATGTCAAAACGCATCTGCCATCAGGGTTTCATGCATAAAATACGTCATTCTCATATTTAGTTAGAATTTCCACTTTAATTTTTCATTCTTGCAAACCAACTAAGCTAACTTTCCCACGCGTACGGTACAAACCCTCCGGTTATACTTTTCGGGTTTACGCCACGGTATTCATTTACAAGAAAAAAACGTTAGAAGAAGAGATGTCAATGTTGCGAGAATGTTGGTTCAGTTGTTAGTTTGGTTGGTGCTTCACGTTGGAGAGACAGTCGTGCATATCTTCTTTCTTTATGTGATGAGATGATGTTGCTTCAGAATGTGGTTGTTCCGTGGCGTGGCATGAGCTGGGAGTCGGGAACTTATTTTTAGCCAGGGTGGATTGAATTGGAGGCAACACACGACGAGGATGGAGGCAGGTTGTCAACTGATTAATCTTGTTCATCAGACACTCTCACTACATACTAAATACAACACATGCACATACTTACGCCATGCCACCAGTTGTTAAGTATGCGTTCTTCTGCTTGGTGATATTCCATCCTCGTATGAATGATGCATCCCAGCAGCCAGTACAGGAAACAAACTCTTCGCGAGAGAGAGAAATGACTTGAAATACTTATCTTCACAGTCAGTGTCAACAAAAACAGGAGGCACGCCACGCCACGCCACGCCAAACCACGTCCAATCCTTAACTTCCTCTCAATGTAATATGCTACATGTACACACAAATCTGTCATCAGTTCAGGAAAAAGATGTAGCTTTCACTAAATGATAAATCCCTGTGACCTGTGAAATGGCCTGTCTCGTCACAAATGAACAATTAGTCACAGATTATTTATTTATGTAAAACCTAATCGCTTTATTAGAACCGTCGACCCCGGTGGACGCCCCCACCGCGGTCACGATCGAGGAGCCCAAACCAAAACCGGAGAAAACGAGGGAAAAGGTGAGAGAAAGTTTGGACAAAGTTGGAAAAACTTTTTGAAGAAATCATGTTAATTTGTATTATTAACTATTAATTAATTAGCCACGAGCTGCCGCCCAACCAGACAGACCGGCTCGTAGCTTGTTCTTTTTTACCTTAAAAAATCCCATTCGAAGATTGTGTTATGCAATCGTAGAGAAAAAGTATGCACTTAATTCGAATTTATAAATTATTTAATTTTTTACTGGATATAAAATTTTTATTAATTTCTTTAAAGAGCGTTTGAATACATGATTCTCGTCACAATTCTCGCGACATGTTTTTGTCTCGCAATGGGTAAGCTATTTATTAATTAATTAGTGCTCATTATTCCGATCTTTAATTTTAAGATGTGTATTTATAACAATTTCAGGCACTCCTTATCCTTATAATGATTCCGATGCTACAAATACTATTTTAGTGAGTAGACTAATTATTAATTAAATTAAATTAATCATGCTAATAAAACTATGTAATCCACTCACAGGAAGAAATAGAGTTAGTCTTTACAATCATTTTTACTACTGAATGCGCCATGAAAATTATCGCATTCGGATTTGTAGCCCATGAAGGGGCATATCTTAGGTAAGCGGAATATAATGCTAAATTCACTCGAGGTTTCACATGCAATAAATTAAATTATTATTTCAGAAATTCCTGGAATTTGCTCGATTTTACGATTGTAGTTATTGGGTAAGCATTTAATTAACGAAACTACTTAATTAATTAGCCAACCACTCACTGAATACTTAATTGTAAAATCGTGTTTATCATTTATTCTGACAGTCTCCTTAGTTCACTTCTCTCTTCGATAATGACAGGCTTTGATGTCAAAGCTTTGAGAGCATTCCGGGTAAGAGAAAGTTGAGAGAAAGTTCAATCTTAAAGGTCAAATATTCACAATTATTAATTTTTTAGGTACTTCGTCCCCTCAGACTTGTCTCAGGGGTCCCAGGTAAAATATTTAGGACCCATTTAAAGAAATCTTTATCTGCATATTGTAAAATTGAGTAAATTATTTATTATTTCAGCGTTGCAGGTTGTGATGAAGTGAGTTAAATTATTAATTACATTTAATTTATCATACCAGTGCCACTTTTTAATTGAACTATTACTTTTTAGCTCTATTTTAATGGCCATGATTCCTCTTTCCCACATCGCCCTATTAGTCTTATTCGTGATTATAATTTACGCCATCGTCGGTTTGGAAATGTTTAGTGGAGAACTTCACCGATCTTGTTTTAACAATGTTACGGGTACGGCGAGGAATTTTATCCCATCTAAAATATTATTAATTAATTATAATTCATGATGCTCAGGAGAGATAATGAGCGATCCTGTAACGTGTGGAGGTGGATTTACTTGTGACCTCGGTGATGACGACGACACTGTTTATGTTTGTCGTCTGTATTGGGAGGGGCCAAATCAGGGGATTACAAATTTCGACAATATCGGTCTCGGTAGGTCGATTTTTAAACTGGTCGTTGTGAGATGAATCTTATGAAATCTTTTCAATTGCAAATAACTGAAGCGAAGATCTTTTCATCTGAATCGTGTAATAGTAATTTAACCGGTTAAAATATGTTTTTTTAGCAATGTTGACCGTGTTCCAATGCATTTCCCTGGAAGGGTGGACTGATGTGCTTTACTCGGTAAGTGAATAGTTATTCATCATGCCCAATTTCTGATAAAAAATCCATTAGTAGTAAGATGCATTTATCTAGATGTATTTTAAAACTTTTATGAATTGCATTCCTTTTGTTTTCTATAGTTGAAAGATGCAATGAATGGATCCTGGTTTTGGATCTACTTTACTTCTTTGGTGGTCTTTGGAGCCTTCTTTGTGATGAACCTTATCCTCGGTGTGTTATCTGGGTTAGTCCTCGCCTATAAATCTGCAAAATATTGTTAAAAAAGACCTCTCACAATTTTTTAAAATCTTTTGGGTAGAGAATTTTCTAAACAAAAGGGTAAAGCAGAATCTCGCGGAGATTTTCAAGCTATTCGAGAGCAGCAAAGGATAGAAGAAGGCAAGTTTTATTTTAAATACAAATCATACAACATCCAATTCCAAGTTCACAACTTAATTTTCCATCCATCAACCCACCTCCACCCACTTTCACATATCTATCTTAACCCAATTACGTAAACTTGCAGACCTCCGAGGTTATCTAGAGTGGATTACAAAAGCTGACGATTTGGAGCCTCATGGTATCGAATTTTATTACCGTTTACATAATATTCAAGGTTTGCGTGGAATTCTGAGCAAAAAGAAACATTCCATGATTTCAGAGGAGGTCACAGAAGTAGAAAATGGGGAAGAAGAAGCCCATGAACCAACTTGCTTTGAAACATTTAAACAAAACTTTGGAAGGTATCGTTAACTTTAAATTTTCAAACTAAATATATGCAAATGAGATGAGGGTTAGTACATGCAGTGAGTCGTTCCTCTCTCTCTCTCTCATCCCGTTTAATGACTGCATTAAATAAAAGTGTCTATAATTATTGGAATGAAGGTGGAACAGAAAAGCGAGACGGATGTGTCGAAAAATGGCAAAAAGCCAAGCGTATGTTTCCTACAGAATTTTACGTTTGCTTCTTTACTCAAGCCAAGTCAGTAAGAAAATACATTTGCTTTTGTATTTATTAGATTCTACTGGCTCATTATCATCCTCGTCTTTCTGAACACGATGGTCCTTGCCACGGAACATTACCGGCAGCCAGATTGGTTAGATCACTTTCAAGGTATTCATCCATGATGCGATTCGTAATGTGAATGACACCAACAAAAAAAGAAACAATAATGACTCGGAAATATGAAAAAGTATCAATTTCCTCTTTGCAGAAACAACAAACATCATTTTTATTATACTCTTCTCGTTGGAAATGATTTTGAAAATGTACAGCTTGGGATTTTCTGTAAGTTTACGGTAGACAGCATGTCAAATAATACAGTTTTAACTTATTATACTGGCATATTTTGCACAGCGGTACTTTGTCTCCTTATTCAACCGTTTCGACTGCTTCGCCACAATTAGTAGTATCGTGGAGATAATATTGGTCAAGGTTAGTCTTAAATAAGATGTACTTATTTTATTGACCCCACTAACACTATTTTCTGGACAGACGGACATCATTCCACCCATCGGGGTGTCGGTGCTGCGGTGTGTTCGTCTCCTTCGGGTGTTCAAGGTGAGTTTGAATTTATTAATTATTTTAGTATCCATTAATTAATTAAATTATGTTAATGATTTGACAGGTGACAAGGTGACAAAGTGACAAAGTACAGTGGAACGTTCCACAATGGACAAGTTCTTGGCTTTTTATAGGCCACTTTTTTGTGGACACGGAAAATTACATCTTTTTTTCCATGTTCTTGACAGGTACTGGAAATCGCTCTCCAATTTGGTGGCCTCTCTGCTGAATTCGATCCAGTCAATTGCATCGCTACTTTTTCTACTCTTTCTCTTCATCATGATTTTTGCTCTTTTGGGGATGGTAAGTTATTTAAAAAAAACATGAATCATGACAAGAAATAAACTATAAAATGACTTTGATAAACTCTAAACTAATTATTTGTCTTAAAACAGCAAATCATGGGAGGAAAATTTAATTACGACAAATTCAACAATAAACCGAGGAACAATTTTGATAGTTTCTCCCAAAGTTTGCTGACCGTGTTCCAAGTATGTCGCAAAATTTGTCTATTTTTGTGACACGTTTCATATTTATTGCTTATTTTCACCGTTGTTTTCATTGCAGATCCTGACGGGTGAAGATTGGAACGGTAATACTTACTTTAAGTTAAATTATAAATATGGTAATCTTTTGTGGTATTCAAGGAAGACATTTGTGGTTTAAGGATTAAGGATTAATAATCCGTTTATGAGAATTACCATTTAAAATGTACCATTTAAAATGCGTACTAGATTCAAGAAAAATCATTTAAGTTAAGCAAGTTGGGCAATTAGTGTTCCTTCTTCGTAAGTTGCTGATTTTCTGACTTGTCAGCCAGGTCTGAGGTGAATTTTTTGAACAGAAGTTTTCCATCGACATCTCGGACAGGAAAACGGATTTGGATCCCTTGGAATTCTTCTTTCTGCCCGATGATGCAGTAGTTGGATCTTCCCAACCGATATGCTCGTCGAATTTGGTCTTCAGTCAATTCACCTTTTACCCCTTCCAAAGCTTCAATATCCTTATTCAAATACGTAACACGAATGGGAGCTGACTTGGTTTTCCTTTGCCCTGCTGCTGCGTACTAGAAAGGGAGAAAATAATTAATTATATCATGATAAGCAAGGTCACTCTGAGAATGTCATGATATGGAACTAAATTATTTACAGTATGAAAGCTTTCCCATTTGAACGCATCTTTCTGGTTATTTTCGATACTCACGCCCGAATCAAATGTCAACTCCTAAAATAAGAAAGATTAATAATCATTCAAATGTCGAAGTTAGTAAATTGAGGAAAAGTTTTATACTTACATAAAGATAAGCGGCCCACTTCTTCTTACCATCCTTTTCCTTTTCCATCAACATTTTTGTAGGGGCAGAGCAGTTACCTAATGCGTCTAACATTTGGTGAATGATACACGCACCTTTTTCAGCAGAAGTTCCAATGTATGCATTGTACTTGTGCAATTTGTTATTGCAATATTTATCCAAATCCGCTTCCTTCACTTTTGCTGGGACAATTACAATTACGTTTCCGTAGTATGGTCGAATCTTTCCTCTTCCTAGTATGGCCAGCCTCATGAATTCATCTTCACCGGCATCAATTGGATTCTCTTGGTTAATATCACCTAAGAATAACATGAAATGGAACAAAAGGCATTCATTTGGGAAAAGTAAGATTTTAATATTTGTCATCATAATATATGCTACTATATATGTATGTACCATCGAATACTTCCAGTTTGTCCTCTTCCAAAACATTGCAGTAGCTACTGAGCTGCTTCTTCTTATTCGAAGTCGTCGCAATGGCACGATGCTTCTCTGCTTGTGCTAGCCTCCTAAAATAGACACAAAATAAATGATGATCAGAGGTCAAGTATTTGGTTAGGTCAGGACGCCCTTACTTAGTGTCTGATCCGACATGTTGTGCTTTTTCAAAGCATCGTAGGATGCACATGCAGTTCCACATGTTACGCATAGCACCGTCTTTGCAATTTTGCTTTTCTTCCCAAGTTTTCTAACAGTTGGAAGACTGTCGTAACCTGCTGCTACTTTTTTCCCACCCATATTTATCCTTTCAATATTCACAAAATATTTTAGAATATAGCGACTCGATTTGATAATTAAATTATCCGGCAAAGTGAAAAAATGGTGCGAAAGTGAGTGATCGAGTGAGTTCAGCAGTCAAGGAAAGCCATCAGCATTTCATCATAATTTATTCAAGTCTCAACAAGTTTGATCATGTCTATGAATCTCGACTTTTTTTATTATTTCCAGTTGTGATGTACCAAGGCATCGAGGCGCACGGGGGTGTGGCGTCGCTCGGGATTGTTGCGTCCTTGTATTTTATCGTGCTCTTCATTTTTGGCAACTGTGCGTAACAGGACTTAAATAACATCCAATTTTATAATCAAAATCTTTGTATTACCGACTTTAATATAATATCATCCACCCATCCAGATATTTTGCTCAATGTATTCTTGGCCATTGCTGTGGATAATTTAGGTAATGTCATTTTATAATGATAATCTGGAATTTTAACTCATCGTCGAAAATGCAGGAGACGCTGAAGATGTTGACAAGGATGAAGCTGATGCGGTAAGATAACTCAAATTACTGTAATTTGAATGCGTTTTTTCTACATGGAACAAATCATGGGCTAGGGCGCGGCGGAAGAAGCTGTTGCGGAGGAGGGGGTCGAGGAGGAAGATGAAGATGCAGAATTACATGAAGAGCAGATGAGTCAAAATTCTGGAGAAGAGGAAGAACAAAGGTGACGCATTTTAATTTCAGTCACAATTATGTAAATTTTAAACAAAATTATGACAATCTGCAAAATTTACAGCATACGAGAATCTGAAGGAGTAGAAGAAGAGGAAGAAGCTCCAGTTTCAGAGTCTGACGCAGATGCAACTGCTGGTTCATTTGATAATGATCAGAGTACAGGTAATGAATATTTTGTGGCTGGTAATTGCTAATTATGTGCTAAAATAATAAGTTGTGCTTATCATGAAGAACCAGGGATAAAGAAGGAACCACAACCGAAAAAGCCACCGCCGCCTCCAGACTTGCTGGACGACTCGAACAAAACAGAGCCCATTCCTGAAGCGTCGTCGTTTTTCATTTTTTCACATGATAATAGGTACATATCATGTCAATAATAAAATGTATGAAATAATTTCAAAAAAGTTTGACTAATTTATTATCCACCATTTCTTTCCAGCATTCGAGTATTTTTTCACAAGATTATCTCAAATAGCATATTTGGGTAAGTTTGATTAAATAAGTTATATCATTCCAAGCTTGGTCTGTATTCTTCCATTGCGTTTTGAGAGTGAATGTTTCCGAAATGAATAAAAGTTTGTCCAATATCCTAATCTTAATTGTAATCATTATGTTGTATGTATTCATTAATTATCATCTAATATCAACGCTTATGACGATAATAATTTTTTTATTTGCAGTAACATCATTTTGGTCTGCATTCTAATATCTTCGTCGCTTTTGGGAGCTGAGGACCCGTTATATGAAGATTCTCCTCGAAATCAACTATTGAACAAATTCGACTACTTTTTTACCTCTGTGTTCACAATTGAGCTAACTCTAAAGTTGACCGTGTATGGATTTGTCTTCCATGAAGGAGCGTTCTGCCGATCGGCGGCCAATTTATTGGATCTTCTCGTCGTTTGTGTGTCTCTTATCACCTTTTTCTCCGCGTCAAGTGCCGTGTCGACTATTAAAATTCTTCGAGTGTTTCGTGTCTTGCGTCCATTGCGGGCAATTAACCGTGCCAAAGGTTTAAAGCGCGTCATCCAGTGTATGATTGTGGCCATCAAGACGATTGGGAATATTGTGATAGTTATCAACCTACTTCAATTTATGTATGCTGTCATCGGAGTGCAACTTTTCAAGGTACTAAAAATTTTGTAACAAAATATGCATTTTGTAAACGAAATACATTTTTGTGTTGAGTAAATAAAAATCCTAAATTCGCATTATCGTGTCATTTTTTAAGGGGGGCTTGTTCAAGTGTACTGACGCCTCAAGGGATCGGGAGGAAACGTGTCGGTAAGTCTTATCGGACATTCCATATATCATCATGAGGTTCGATTTTGACTAAGTTTTTCAATGCCAGGGGGGAGTTTATTAGTTATCACAACGGCGATACTAATCGTCCCATCGTAGAGCAACGCGTCTGGGAAAATAGCCCCTTCAATTTCGACTCTGTCCCCAAGGCTATGGTCACTTTGTTTGCAGTTTGCACATTCGAGGAAAATCCAGCTTATCTTTATCTAGCTTATCTTTGCTTATCTATTGTGGAAAAATTATTTCTCTGGGACCGAAAATCTCCCGCTCTCGTATACTTCGTGATGTAAATGAGGCCAAACGACGTCTTTTTCCGTCCCACAGAGATATTTTCTCTGCAATAACACTTAATAAACATTAAAGCACATCATGACAATTTTCTTGTTCTAATATTTTAGGGTTGGCCGGAGTAAGGACATTCATACATCACCATAAATTGGATACTACATATTCACAGGATTATTAATCAATGATATGAAATAATTGTGTATTTTTAGTATGCTCTACTCTTCGATCGATTCCAGTGTTGAAGACCGTGGTCCCATTCACGACAATAAGAAAATAGTCGCCGCTTACTACATTTCCTATCTAATTGTCATTTCCTTCTTTATGATCAACATTTTCGTGGGTTTTGTCATCTTGACTTTCCAAAATGAAGGGGAGCAAGAATATCGACATTGTGAACTTGAGAAAAATCAGGTATCCTATATTCCTCAGAATGCAGATTGTACATAATTTTTCCTACTAAAATGCGTCCTGTATTGCAGCGAAATTGCTTGGAGTTTGCCCTGAAAGCTAAACCAATGCCAAAGTATATTCCGCAGAATCGGTTTCAGTACCGCTTTTGGTCCGTGGTAACTTCTCAAACGTTTGAATATCTCAACTTTTCCCTCATCATGTTAAACACGATCTCGCTTGCCATGAAATTTTACAACCAACCCGACTGGTACACTGACATCTTGGCGAAAGGCAACATTTTTTTCACGGCCGTATTCACCATTGAATTTATGCTAAAACTGGCCGCTTTTGGGGTCAAAGTTTACTTTGCTGACGCTTGGAACGTGTTTGACTTTCTTATCGTCGTGGGAAGTTTTGTCGACGTAAGTTTGACAAGATTGTATTTTATTTTGAAACAATGAAGTCAATACATTTTTAATAAATTTTGTTTTGTAGATCATTTTCGAAGATCTCAATGTTAGCTTCCTCAAGCTTTTTCGGGTTGGTAGGCTCGTAAAGCTATTAAATAAAAGCGAAGGCATAAGAACGATATTGTGGACGTTCGGAAAATCCTTGCTCGCCCTGCCGTACGTCGTCCTCCTAATTGTTTTACTCTTCTTCATTTACGGTGCGTTTTACAATATTAAACCAAAAAAATCCGATTTGGAGAAGATATTTGCATCCAAAGAGGAGATAACACGTTCCCAAGTTGATAAATTTTACACGCTCCAAATATACTGCGCATTTACTCCTCTTCAGATGCAAATAACTTCATCAAACCTGAGCAGATAGTGTCTTTTACAAATTTCATGATAATTAAGTTTGCGATCGATTGACACTAATTTGATCAAAATCGGAGTACATACGCTGTCCGATATATATTGCCAGTTGTACATGGATAAAATTAATTCATTGATTTAATTTTTATTATTTATTCAGCCATCATTGGGATGCAGGTAAAACAGATTCAGCATATAATAATTTATGTGTTAATTTAATTTTATATAAGCCAAACTCTGTTGTCTCGTCAGATATTTGGAAAAATTGCATTAAATCAAGACACTGATATACATCGAAACAACAACTTTCAAAATTTTGGGAATGCAGTGATGCTCCTTTTCAGATGTGCAACTGGTTCGTGCCCATATAACCTTATGCTTAAAAGGAAGATACAAGGTACATACATAAATTTAAAAAATTTCCAGGTGAAGCTTGGCAGGACATTATGATGGCTTGTGTCAAGTAAGAGTTTTTGTATTTGCTGAAAATATGACAATTATTATACAAAATCTTTACCAATATCTTTCTTCCCTTGTTTCCAGCAACCCGGAAGTCGAATGTTTCCATAAACCAGTCGAAACTCAAAATCTCACGGCGAGTGCGTACGTTGACACCGATGGGATTGAAGGAATGGACCTCAGCTCACTGGAAATGCCAACAGTCACACCAGAACCGAGTTGTGGGTCGGACTTTGCGTATCCTTATTTCATCTCGTTCTTTGTCCTCTGCTCATTTTTGGTTAGTCTTGTAAAATTTCAATGTAAACATGTTTTCTAAAATTCATAATATTTATGTTGTGGGTGTTTCAGATTTTAAACTTATTCGTGGGTAAGTATACATACATACATAATAGTACTACACAATATATTAGACTATAATTATGCAAATTACTCATTTCAATGCAAATTAGCCGTCATCATGGACAATTTTGACTACTTGACTCGAGACTGGTCCATCCTTGGTGCACATCATTTAGGTGAATTTATCCACTTGTGGAGTGAATACGACCCAGACGCTCGTGGATGCATAAAACATGTCGATGTTCTCAATTTATTGCGGAGAATTAACCCTCCGCTTGGCTTTGGAAAATTGTGTCCTCGCAGAATGGCTTGCAAGGTAGGCAATCCAGTAAAATTATAGTAACTCAATATTCAAGATTTTTAATTAATTAATTAACAACTCCTCAGAGACTTGTAGCAATGAATATGCCAATGAACAGCGACGGGACAGGTCAGAACAGGAATTAACTAATCTATGAAATATCACAACTATTAAGTTTGAGTCCATTTTTCCAGTTCAGTTCAACGCTACAATATTTGCCTTGGTCCGTACCGGTTTACAAATCAAAACGGAAGGAAATATTATGGAGGCTGATGAACAACTTCGTAGAGTCATACGAGCAATTTGGAAGGATACGGATCCATTACTCTTAGATCAAGTAGTTCCTCCTCCGGATGGTGAGAGAAATGCAAACTACAAAATACTACAAATTCGTCAAAAAACACCGACCTAAATTTTTGTAAATTCTTGTTGCTTCCAGTCTTTGATGAAGTAACGGTTGGAAAGTTTTATGCCTCAGAATTAATTCAAGAACAGTATCGCAAATATCACCGGCGAAAGAAGAAGCACATGGAGCAAACGCTATCTGACCTCGAGGCTGAAAACGCTTTTAAATTAACAGTAAACCGACTACATCAAATACAATCAATCAAATACATTGGCACAAAAAATGAAATAAATTAATCCTTTGACATTTTATTTTTAAACCAGGCTGGACTACGAGAGTTACAAACGCTGGGTCCAACTTTGAAACGAACCATTTCCGGTGACTTGGAACAAGCCGCTGAAGGAAATGATATCACGCCGCTTCACAGGGTTTGAAATTAAACATATTTTCACAATTTCCTTAAAGTTAGCTTTAATTTTTGTATTTTTAATGACTTGCAGCGGAATCACATGCTCTTTGGAACAAATAAGAAGAAACCCTTAGCATTTTCTAAAGCTAATCATCACAGCCCCCATTCTCACGCACATCATATCCACTCTAACCACGCTGCACAAACTGCCCTTCATTCCTTATACGATACTCTAAGCACGTCTCAGTTCAATTCTATGTTTGGTGGTGGAACGTATGCAAAAAAATTCATCATAATACAATTTATTTCAAATTAAATGCAATAAATAACTTGCTAAAATTTCGTGCAGAATTCAACGAATCCCTGACTCGGAACGACTTCAAGCTCCCCCAATTCCTGAAAGATCCCAATTTAAGGGATCTGCTCAATGTCTTGTTGGACTTGTAATGAATGCTTTCACATTAATCTCAAAATTGATAACGTGACGTTAATTAATAAACTTTTAATGTGCAGACGCTCAACTCTTCCGCCGCACTACGAAGGTACAGCAGAGACCCTACATTTGTGGAAAGTGCGTCTGAAGAACTTCGTCAAGCGTTGGGAATGTCTCCTTCGGAGATGGAAAGTAAGAAGTCCACATAAGTTTTACATTTCTTTGCCTATTTTTTGTTCACACTAATTTATTTATAGGAGCAGCCTATCGCGTCCTCAATGAGAAATATCCCGTCCATTTTGAAGCAATTTTTACATAACTTGCTGTACCAACAAATATGTATAACTTATTTATAAATGTACTATTACAATTTGATAAAAAGCTAGTAACAATTTGTTGTAATTGACAGGAAAACCGGAAATTATATCACTTATTAAGGCAAGTATGCCATCATGTCATACATTTAGGCAAAAAAAAGTAAAAACAAATAACGATACATTCAACTAGGTCAACGATTTCGACGTGTGGCCGGGGTTTTAAAGGCTTGATTATCGTTCGACCAATCGTATGGTTCATTTTCTTCATCCATGGAGTCTTCGCTACTTTCTTCTTGGTGTGCTGTCTGATTTGTATCTAGAGGTACCTTACGCTCCTTCCACAGTTTCAAATCATCTACAAACAACATAGTGATGTAAATAAAAATTCAATCATTAGCAGTTTCAAAAATTGCATATGGTACCTTTGTGGTTCATGAAGCCAACAAGTCTACTTTCATATTCATACATCCATTGGTTCAACTTGAGGTCTATATCCTCTTGAGCAGATGAGTTAATAGAAAATTTCACTTTATGAGTTCCTTTCTTTCCTTGCCTTACAAACCAAGGGTGGTTGGAAAGGCTTACCCGCAGATTTCTCACGTTGAAGCCTTTGACAACTTCTCGGGTGAGGGGAAATGCATTCCTACAAAGTGACATTGTCCAGAACGTGTATTATGTATCTGGATTTCTGTATCGTTATTTTTGGAGTAAATTTCATACAACGAACTTACCAGATAACCTCCAAAATTTGATTAACTGTAAGTGGTTTCTTAGCACTTAGCACAACTGTGGCGGCTAGAAAATCTGATCGTACGTACGTGTAGTCAGGGCGGGGGATGAAGTTCTCAATCACTGAGTACAAGTCGTTCAATCTTTTCGCTTGGTACGCTTCAAAATCTAGTTTCACTTCATCGAAAACCGCAGACTCAGGTGGACCTCGGTTGGGAAACTTTTCTTCTATGTATGTCACTATATCCTTAACACTGTTGTCCTTTTTCTGAACAGTAAGCAACAAAAGATCATGACATTCTGTAGCATGCAACCACATAAGTTAAAATGTATCGTGATTTTTTTTACCCCTCCATTTTGTGCTGCAAAGAATGCTGCGATCTTGTATTCCGTCCATGCGAAGGGTGGATAACCCAATATTTCGTTCAAACTGTCGTTTTTAATCCACTTCGTAATTGCGGACATGACCCCGTCGCCAGTAATCGAATGAGAATGTTTTTGATTGGTAGTACAGTTGAGCCCCACAATCTTTGGGCCGGTACGTATGAGTGGCAGCGAATTGCATAGGAAATTCGCCAACTTATGTAATCAAAATTACTTAATCTTATTTGCACCTTATTATTCGTTCAGATTCTTACCTCCCAAATTTGCTGCCATTCGTAAGCAAGGTCCTTATTCTCATCTCGTGTGCGTCCTTCTGAGAAGGTTATGTTCTGTGTATAAAGACTAAAAAATAACGATACATAAGACTTATGCACAGAAGTAGTGAAACATACATTGGTGAATGCCACCCAGTTCTGCTTAGCTAGCCACGCCACCAAAGAACCGTCGCACATGCTGAAGAACGTGTGAAAAGGGCACGGGCCTTTGGTACTGCTTGTGTCGAAAAAAACAGCAACTGAAAATAAATTAGCCAGGGATATATGTATCGTTATTTGTTTACGACATCGAGTCAATGTGGGGTACATGTTGCTTACTTAAAAACTCTGGGTTATGCTTGTGCTGAAGGATATTTTCATCCAACGACTTCGTGGGATCCCAAAACTTTCTGTCCATGAGAACTATGATTGACCCATAAAACGGTTTTGCAGTTTGGTCATGCAATTGTCTATTTGTTAACACTTGCACCATCGTTTTCACAAACTGGTTGTCCATATTAACATCTTGCTCAGTTAATACTGGTACGGGTACTTTCAATAAGTTCAGTGATTTTACAAAGCTGGCCACAGAGATTGCTGCATTGTTGATCATCCCGGAGAGGCGGGTCTGCCATTGTTTCACTGCCTGCCTGTTTCATTAATTGTTTCATTAACTGTGCATAGATAATGGCATAATTAAACGTGTCTTACTGTGCAGGTGTGGCATGTTTATTTGCAAAATGTTTCGTGAGTCCTTCTTTCCTTGAATATCTTGACAAACAGGGTTCTCCATCGGGTAGTTTTCCCGTGCAGACATGAAGTTTGCTTTTCTTAACAGGTTCCAAAACTCGGGTGACGGGAATTGATTTCCGTTTTCGAACCTCTGCAAATAAATTAGCTTCGTAACGTATCAATTTTTGCATCGTTATTTTTATCAACTCCTCTCTTGCATCTTTTTTATCGTTATTTTGTTTACTTTAAGTCAAACAGTCTCATGATCTTACCTCTTTCCATCATGGATATTATTCGGATCCAACAATATTCTTCTTTTCCACTTTACCAAATTAACGTATAACAATTTCAAGAGAGTCGATTAGCTGGAAGAATAATAACTTGTCAACGTTTTGCAGTTTTCCAGCAAGCCAGAGATGCGATGAACGATGAGACAAACTATCTGGGGAGCATGCAAGCATCTTGCCGCATCGAGTTTCTTTCATTGCCCCCATTGTGCATGCAAAGCTTGCGGTATCGTTATTTTTAGTTTACATATTCACGTTATGTATGCGTAAAACTGACTCCATGAAAACCATGTCATGAAAATCCCCAGGTTTAGACTTTACGTTATCATCACGTTCTCCTCCCAATCCGATTTTTTGATTGGCTAATCAAAAATATCACTAAGACAATTAAAAATTTCGACCAATCAAAAAATCGGATTGGGAGGAGAACGTGATGATAACGTAAAGTCTAAACCCGGCGAGTATCACATTTTCATCATCATAAACATTCACGGATTCAGAAGTAAATGATACATTTTTTACACTCATTTAAAATAATGCAAAATTACAGCTCCATATAACGATTTTAAAAAATCGGTATGGGTCACCCAATAAGGTCCGGTGAGATGAAAATTGATATGAGACATGAAAATTGTTCCTATTTTAATTCATATTGTTCCATCTGGATCCATTACCAACTTTACCAAATTTCAGCTCGATTTCATGAATATGAAAAATTGGTCACCCAATAGGGTCTGTCCAGGTGAAAATGTGTTTAGTTTCAATTCATATTCTTCCATTGGTAGCCATTAACAACCACTGTGCTCAATTTCAGCTCGATTGGATGAGTTTTAAAAATCGGTATGGGTCACCCTCTAGGGTCCCTCCACATGAAAATTTTTGAAATTTTACTTTCAATTCTTTCCTTAGAAACCATTATCAAGCTCTGTACCAAATTTCAGCTTTCTACGACAATTTTGAAATTTTGGTGCACAATACCCCACGCACTCCAATGACCCCCACCGGTCAACCACTTGACCGATCATGCCCATCTCCGAACTCATCCTTAATTTTTGGCCGAAGATGAAGTATGCAAAATTTCAAGTCGATAGCTTTTGTTTAAAGAGAGTTATCGTGCCTACAGACGGACAGACGGACGGACAGACAGACATCCTGACAAATCTATAAGGCCATCTTAAAAGGCCTAAAAATAACGATACATAGTTTTCACAATCAAATTGCATTATTTTTTTTGTGATTAGTTAGTTTCCCAACTTTCAATTACCGCACATCTAGACGAGATAAAAGAATACCATGAAAAAGACCACGAATATCCTAATAACCACTATTAATAATTATAAATACTAGTTTTATTACAATGTATCATCCAATTTCAACTTAATGATATTATTCATACTCTTATTCCTATCACCGTGTTATTATCTTGTTGTTATCATTAAATATAATTATAATTACTGGTTTATTAATTATCCCAATTTTGAATTGAATACAATTATTAAATGCAAATCTTCTCTATTTATGTAATATTTCGAATCATTCCTTTATTTCGCATTGTATAAATTCGCACATAAAATTTAGCACTACTTCCTTGTTGTCGTTGTCTCTTTATTCGGCTGTGGTGGCATTGGCGAAGTACAAACCCCCCAATCTCCACTCTGTTCCGACCTGACCAACCCCACACTTTGGACCGACGCTGCACTAAAATCTTGATGTGTGCTATCCAAAAGCACGGAGGATGACGTCGCATTCGTCGTCGCAGATGGAACGGCTCCTCCTCGAGTTGCATAATTTGGAAATACATGCTTTCCATCCGCCGTTATAACTGTTCCTGGACCATAATATCCCATGGTAGCCATCTCTGTCTCGTAAATATCGAGAAGCGCTTCAGATCTCAGGAGTGGATTACCTCCTACGACGCCGACAACCTTGAGCTCCTCCATGTAGCAAAGTACCACCCAAAGAAAGTAGACTTCCGGAAGGAGAAGAACGAGGGGACAGAGGGGGATGTAGTCGTGACCGAAGAAAATCATTACTAGAGATTTCATAAAAATTCAAGAAATAATGGAAAATAAAATGATACTGAAAATATGTACTAGGAATTTTATTTTTCATTTTCAGAATTTTCTCAACTTACTCAAGCTGGTCCCAATGAGAAGGGCGCAGAACAAGGTCAACTTTATCGCAATAAATAATAAGAGGAGGCAACGACGCCTTTTTCTAGCGGCCACCCACAACATGGGGTATAGAATTAGGTCGTAGAACCCTCGTAATAGGTTGACCACGGAACTGTAGTCTAAAACTTTAAAACGATAAATTATCAATTTTTAGTGAAATATGTACATACATACAGTCCCATGTAGCCAGATAATATTCATACCATCGCTAAAGTTATCCGCTTCCTTTGCCTTCTTTCCATCCTTGAAAACTATTATGGTTTGGTCAACTAATTTTGGTTCTAGTGCGTAGACAGTTGTTCCAGCAATGATTAATATTACTCCGAGGGTCTGTATTAAATCGGTACTATTTTATTGAATTATGAAATTGCATATGCACGTACATTACTCACAATTCCACAGTAAGCAACAACTTCACACGCCTTTTGAAGGGATAAGCGACAAAGAGCACACGGTCCTGAATTGTATATTGTGGGGGGTTTGGTAGCATTTGGGTTTGATGGATATTTTCTAGGTGTAATTTCTGGTGTGGAATTGTTATGTGAAGAATATGCAAATGATACAAAACTACTTTCCGCTGACATTTTATAAAATTTTGTATGTAAACATTGTAAAATTGTGTCAAGATTGTAATAATACAACAGACGAAATGTAGTATTTTGTGCATTCCACGACGACAGTTAATTTATTTCATCTCATAAGAAAGAAATTGACAAAAATCAAAAATTTTCTCAAATTCATAAGAGAAACGTTGTAGCCAAAACCCAGTCAGTGGGTTCCAGTGGTAATCTTGACCCGCGTAGTAACGCCTGAATTTCTAGCATCTCGGTCTACACGAATAAAAAAAATGATATGTAAAAGATAAACGATAAATACGACGTTTGCGACTTAATTACCGAACATATCATCAAAGATAGCAGGGCGCAGGGAAACCAAGTTCCTAAAATTTTGGACAATGGGTATCGAATCTCAGTTTTCATACCAAGAACGAACCAAAATGAGATAACTGATGTCATGATCACATAAACAAAGATCGGGTAGAACACTGTCGGACTATCCACGTCGACCTGCAAAAAATGGTAATAAATTTATGCAAATGAATGTTGTATAATTTTTCGGAGAATATAAATTGCATACTTGAATACAAGAAAAAGTCAACGCAGTCAAAATGTAGGTTAGCGTCAGCGTGATTAGTACAATCGGTACCGCAGAGCAGTTATAGTGAATATGTAGCATTGCAGATAAGTGGGATATGCAGAAGGTCTAAAACAAAGTAAACAAAAAAAGTTATTTAGACCATAAACGAAGACTTTCGAAATTGAATAGCTTACCGAGACGAATAGGACAAAAATAGATGTTTGATTATTCAGCAGACTAATAGAACGGACCGTGAGGAAGGTGGTTATGAGAATAAAACTAGGAATTTAAAAATATTTAAATCTAAAAACATATTTTAGTGATCAATTTATAAAAGTATTTTAATCATTTGTTTAGCTATACGAGGCGAGATAGAGCGTCCATGCCAAATCTCTCTGATGGTCGTGAAAGTAGCGAATATGATACGCAGAAAATGTCCAAATCAAGGCCAACGCCCATTGCAACGCTTTGATGAGGAGCATTTTGCTTGAAAAGTGGTTCCGAAATTCACTACAAAATATGGACCAGAATTTTTTATAAATTGGTCAAACACACAAATAATTAATGCATGCAAACTAAGTACGGGCTATGAAATCGAATATTCATATGATACGTTCCCGAGTGCCACGGCCAAGACAATGGTTCTCTTCTGATCAATCGTTGCTGATCGTTTCGCGGTCCATGCAACAAGTCGCCGTCGTGACCTGGAATATTTAACCGGATGTTGTGGTCATCCTCTGATTTCTAAACATTGTAAATTACACAATATCAGTTTTATTATTATTAATTACGGAGCTATTTAGTAATTAAATTACCTTCCCCACAAGAAGATTTGGGTTATCATTCTGATCCACTCGAGTACCGGACGTATCCTCTTCTTGTAGATTTTTTTGCGGTCGTCTCTGCTGAAATTGAGGGATAAGACGGGACTTGTTTTGATGAAATTTCTTCTCCGGCCTTTCCTCATCTGGACACATGACGCAGCTCGAAATGCCATCAGCCTCCAACCCTCGACCCTTTTCCACCTTCCACAAAACGTCGACTCGGTGTGATCTCAATTCTTCGGGGTCAAACCCGATCCGTGTCCCGTTAAAGTCATCAGTTTCCGTTCCTCGTGGATCGCCTCTTTTTAGGTTATCCTCATCCGTGGCGTTCGAATTTATGTCAGCAGGGGCACAATCCAGCAGCAATGTTTTATTTGAGGGATGCTGTTTTCCTGAATTAATTTAAATCTATTTGGCATATTTGTTTAAAAATACTCTATTTAATTAAACAATTGGTTTACTTATGAAAGACGTGTTTGGTGCAGAGTGTGAAAATAATTTTCCATGAACAGTTTCCGCTTGTTGTGGTTTCCGAATATTACTGATGACCCCATTGGAACTGGGTGCACTTGGGCTCAGAACTTCCTGAATTGGTGGGGTTCGTTGATTGGGATCTAAATTTTCACTCATTTTATGACATGTTTCATATTAATGCAGAAAAATTCAGTATGGAAAGTGGAAATTGAACGTCTTATTGGTTTGGTGTCACGATTAACTGACATCGTTTCTATGGGGTGGTGCCCCATACGGTTGCGACAAATGGATTATTTTTTAGAAAATTTTCATTTTTTAAATCGTTGGGGCAAAAGTCCTTTGGTTTGCCCCAACGACTTTAACCTTGAATAACTTTTGAATAGGCAGACAAAGAGACTTAATTCCTGAGGATGAAATCATCCTAATTTTTAGCTTGATTTTTTAAGCTAAAAATCTCGAGTGTACTATTTCGAAAATTAAAATGTTTATTTTGAAGAATATCTCCAAAATATAAGTTTTTCAGGAATTTCGAAGCCAATTCTTATCTCACAAAATTTTAGAATATACCAAACTGATCGTATTATCTAGACCGATCGATTGACACCCCACTGGAGGGTGTGAGATCACTTGGTCCGGATTTGACCTAGGGGGTCATCTTAATCCTCCAACTTAGCAACGGTCCACTCACACCATTTTGTCAGTACATAATAATTAAAATTTCGTCGTCTGACGTTTCGGAGAGATAATCGGATAAGGCAAGTCAAGAAACCATCACCATCATCATGAGCAACTGTTCCAACTCTAATACGTCCAAGTGCTGTGAGCCCCCCAAGAAGGCGTGTCCACCTCCGTCCCCACCACCATGTACCAACCTCCCAGCTACCTTGACCTTCGCCTGTCTTGCAGAGGAGTGCAAACCGGTCCCGAAGCCACCCTGCCCTGAAAAACCGAAGGATGACTGCACATGCGTTGGCGCGGCCTCGGCCTACGAAGAACCAAAACCAAAGAACAACAACTCAGATGATCAACGTTGCCCGATATCCACATGCCCTGGAGCTAGTAACACAGATGATGACAGTTGGATACTTTGCGACCATTGTCAGACATGGTACCACACAGCTTGTGTTGCTGTTGTCGTCATACGGGAAAATGAGTGGCTTTGTCCAGATTGTTTCTCTTCACAAGCAATCTCATCTTCACAGAACTCAATTACTACAAGGAAAAAACACACCATCGCGTCAACACAACATTGGCTTAAATTAAACATTATGGAGGATCCCTCTGGCCAAATTCCAAAATCCGAGGTCGTCACCCGTTACGCCCACCATATTGAAACCTCTGGAGAAGGAAAAGTTCATGATGTCACAGTTGCAAAATATATCAATCAGCTCTTCCCAAACGCAACGCTTCTTCGTCCACGAGCTCGAGGTGCTACAAACGCTTATGTTGGAATTAGATGGGCAGACCAACCACCACTTCAACAACTTCCTCCAAACCAAGCTGACTTCTTGGGTTCCTCTTTAGCCAAGTTGAAGGGGACCGTCCCAACTTTGAGAAGAGTCCCGCGTGGTGCAAGGAGTATCGTCGCTCAATCTCTGACCAAAATTCTCAAGGAAATTGCTTCTGGGAATAGCGAGGAAAGTTGGAGAAATAAAGCAAGATCGACGACCGATGATGCGATTTAACGTGAGTGTAACGAAATTGAATGAAAACAATGACATAATATACGTAATGTGGTACAGTGCAGTTACTTCTGGCTGGCTGAGCTTGCACAAATTCATTCTGATTAGTTGGATTGTGATGATTTGCAAAAAAATGCAATAATGCATCAACCTGCCATTGGTTTGGATAACTAGACCAATTTCAACCTTTGCGTTATTGCAAAATTATATGAGGAGTGACATTTCATAATAATTTTGGGGATTACAAATCCCACCAATCATTATCTGAATAACGTATACTTGTCATAAAGCAAAGGGCATGGAGTGTGATGATAATTTGTATGTATTAGAGGGCGACAGTACCCATTCATCTGGAATTTATTTTGGAATTTATTTATTTCCTGTTCTTCCCGTATGCTACGCTTCCAGTTCCACAAAAATCGGACCAAGTAAAAAATCTGACCACATGGGTGAAGACCCGCACTTCTGAATGGGAAAATAACTTCTCCATCCCGCTACCACATCCACCACGCCAGTTCTCGCAACGGAGCCCCCAAATTGATTCAACTGTCAAGAAAGTGGAGGCCAAACTCGCAGATGGCGACATTCGAGGAGCAATTCGTCTTGCCTGCTCTGATGACACCATAGCCCCAAACGACGATGACACTCTAAGCGTCCTCCGTGCGAAGCACCCGGTACACCCAGAGCCCACAAACTATCCACAACCACTAGCGGATGACTCCGTGATTGAAGCAGTACACGTTCCTGAAGTAGCTAAGGCCGTATCCACTTTCCCCCCAGGTTCGGCAGGAGGACTCGATGGTTTGAGACCCCAAATTCTAAAGGACCTACTCAGCTGCAATCAGGGGGAGACAGGAGAACACCTCGCCCAAGCAATCACAGATTTCCTCAACCATGTGATTGCTGGAAAAGTCCCTGCAAAGCTGTGCCCAATATTATACGGAGCATCTCTCACGGCGCTGAGGAAGAAGACTGGGGGTATCAGACCCATCACGGTGGGAAATACGTGGCGCCGACTCGCCGCCAAGGTCATCCTCGCTAAGATTACCCCCCAACTTATCGACCACTTTTCACCTCATCAGTTAGGCGTTGGAATAAAAGGTGGCGCTGAGACCGGTGCCCATGCCGCCCGTGTATACTACAACTACCCTCACCACACCCCCAAAGCATTTCTTAAAATTGATTTTAGGAACGCATTTAATGAAGTGAGAAGAGACACTCTACTGCACACTGATCGTGATAATTTTCCATCAATCTTCCCGTTCGTGTCCCAATGCTACGCTAACCCGTCATCACTTTTCTTCGGGACAACATCTCTCCCTTCGCTTCTGGGTTGTCATCAGGGCGACCCTTTGGGCCCTTCTCTGTTTTCTTTGGTCATCCACCCCATAATCAAGACTTTGGACACAGAGCTAAACGCATGGTATCTCGAAGACGGGACTATCGCAGACACCCCGGAAACGGTACTAGCAGCCCTTGAGAAAGTTTCCAGAATGGGTGAAGAAGTGGGGCTTTATCTCAACCACAACAAGTGTGAGGTTGGAGTATTGGGGGCGGACGACGACACCATCACCCAGATTTTTCAAGAATTTCAAAATTTTGCCCCAGGAATCCAACTGATAACTAGAGAAAATGCAACATTATTAGGTTCTCCTCTTACCAACGAAGCCATGGAGGCGGTTTTGGCTGCCAAAACGGAGCAATTGGCAACTTTCTCCAAACGTCTCAAGAAAATATCTGCCCACTCAGCTTTCTTCCTCCTCCGAGCTTCTATCTCCATACCTCGTTTAATATACTTTCTACGATGCTCACCGTCGTGGAGAAATAGGGAGGCCCTCGCTCTCTATGACGCTACACTCAAGGACGCCCTGGAGGGGATCCTTAACTGCTCACTCTCGGAGGCTGTATGGATGCAGTCCTCTCTACCCGTGAAAGAAGGTGGCCTTGGGGTCAGACATGCTGAAGATGTAGCGATACCGTGCTTTCTTTCGTCAGTCTACAGCACCCAACCCCTAATGGAACAAATTCTTCCGGTTTACCTACATGGTTCCGATGCCGCCATTGGAGAGGAACGATGGACTTCTCTTGGCCCAACTAATCTTCCTCCCAACACAGTGAGAGGATTACAGACAGCATGGGAGCGCCCCATCATCGACATCACAGTGTCCCACTTAGTCGTCGCCGCAGCCACGTCTGAAGATACGGCTCGCCTATGTGCTCTTCGCGACAAATATGCAGGAATATGGCTCAACGCTCTCCCATCTCCTCAAATCGGCACCCTTCTCTCGAACGAGGCATTTCGCATCGCAATTTCCCTCCGTTTAGGTTGCGATGTTTGTCAACCCCACACTTGCCCGTGTGGAGCGCAAATCAGTTCACGAGGATATCATGGTTTATCCTGCCGACGAAGTGCTGGTCGGTGGTCTCGCCACGCAGCCGCTAACGACGTAATCGCGAGGGCGCTTCGATCAGCCGATGTTCCCTGCATCCTTGAACCACCCGGATGTTCACACCAAGACGGAAAGCATCCAGACGGGATGACTCTCGTTCCGTGGGCAAGAGGAAGATCCCTTGTGTGGGATTTTACCTGCGCTGACACCTTCGCACCTAGTTATCTCCCCGAGACAGTCCGCCACCAAGGAGCAGCAGCAACAAAGGCAGAAGATAGAAAGAAAAAATTGTACGCCTTTCTCCTGGACCGATTCATCTTTATGCCCGTTGCAATTGAGACGACAGGTACATGGGGTCAGGAGGGGTTATCCTTCATTAAAGAGATTGGACAACGGATCGCTACCGCCACTGGAGAACCACGCTCCACAACTTTTCTCCTCCAGCGACTCGGCATTACAGTTCAACGTGGAAATGTAGCTTCAATCCTGGGGACACTTCCACCAGGATATTAAAATTTAATTTCTTCAAAAATGAAAATTTGTGTTGGAAACAATTCATTTGTCGCAACATGTATAGAATGATAAAGTGTCAAATAATATTGGTTTGGTGTTATCAATCATTAATGTTAATTAATCAGTTATTATAGTTATGGTGATATGTAAGTATACCATAATTTTTTTAGCAATTAAAAAAAAGTATACCATGCATTTATATGACCTTCAAGATCGTGATTTGGATCTTGTAATCGATCCAAAGCGCATGGAAACTTTGACTAACTTTCCCTCAGACATATTCAGGTGATGGGATAATTCCTCCCGCTCACTTCCTCCCCCTCATCTGCTCCCGCTAAACCCCTCCCGCTCGTCTCCTCCCGTATACATTTTCCTCCCCGTACCATCTCCTCCCCGCCAACTTCCTCTCATGTACATTTTCCTCCCCGTTGTGTCTCCTCCCCTCCGTATTATAAGTATTTTTTTACTTTATTATATTTCAAGCAGGGCTGTTGTGCATAATTACTTTTGTACTTAATTACTTACTTAATTATCGAAATTAAAGTAATTAGTAATTGATAATTGATTTCAATTACTCTGGAATTTGTAAAAGTAATTAAGTACTTAAGTATTTAAATGACTTGGAGTAATTAAAATTGGATATACTTAATTAGTTGGCCAAGTAGTAATTAGTAATTGAATACTCAACTACTTTGATCAATTACTTAATCCAGCATAATTGGAATGAAATGCGACAAGTCTCCCTCTCTCGAAGAACTCGAATTCAATATCTTTTGTTGTGAACACTTTGGTAATCATTCCCATTAAGCCGTTGTACTTCAAGCTTATTCCAATATTATATTACAATTTTTTCAACTAGCTGTGTTCCATGGACGGAAAAAAATTACCTAAGCAATCTCGTTTGTCAGGTTCAGGTAAAATCCAATAGATAGAAATGTATGCAATAAGAATTTTAATGTTGTAATAGTACGAGGACAACGACATAATCTAAAGTAAATATCCACTGAACAATTTTAAACTGCTTCTTGATGGTAAAAATAGACACTATACAATACCTAGTTACAAAAGTGTTATCCTCCTCGGCAATGAATTTTTTGGTCAAAAAAGTTAGCCTTGAAATAACGTTTAATTACTTTTAAGTATGAGGATTAAGTAATTAGTAATTAAGTAATTGACTCTCAATTACTAATTAGTAATTGATAATTGAAAATCAATTACATGTCTGCAAAGTAATTGTAATTGATAATTAAGTTCAATTACTGGACAAAGAAGTATTTGTAATTGGTACTTAATTCCAATTTTCGCATACGGAGTAATTAAGAATTAATTACTTTCAATAATTCAGGGAAATCGTGATACAAAAATGTGATCTATGACAAAATTTCAATAGATGATCCAATAATATTCTCAATTATTTGCAAAGATTTATAAAAATCCCCAAAACCATGTCACCGGGGAGGAAAATGTATACGGGAGGAAATCAGCGGGGAGGAAAATGTATACGGGAGGAGACGAGCGGGAGGGGTTTAGCGGGAGCAGATGAGGGGGAGGAGAGGAGCGGGAGGAATTATCCTCCAATCACATATTCATATCTTGTACGTATGCGTTAGTTGTGCATAAATCTACGTACATAAACATGTATCTTGGGTCATCAAGCCGACCGAATTCACTCTCCACTTGCAAAATAGGAAGCATTTAAGAACGGCACGTACCGAATTTGGCCACGTATCCTTCCCTCATGTTTACCATGCTATGCTACATACTTATTTCTTAGAACAAAGGGTCACAATCCCGAGCGTGTAAATGTTCTTGTCCCCAAACCTGGAAACCAGTGACAAAAACTTGATTCCGTTCAGGCTCGGTGGAATCTTTTCCCTTCGTGCATGCAAATGTTGACCCATTTCACATATAATTGCCACATGAATCTCTATCTGGTTTGAAGATTGAAATACAACTCTTTGCTTAAATTGAACTTTGTTCATATTATGGTCATGTATTACAATGCATGCGTTGCGAATAAAAGTAAACTGTGTATTACACGAGGCGAATTTAGTAACGAGGTGTGGTCTCAGAAGCAAAGTTACATGTCCATATATTTTAAATATTTTGGCTTGGATCATCGAAATCGATCCAATTCTTATGCACCTGTAAATCTAAGGATAAGAACGTACCGAATATCGCCACGTATTCTTAACTTGTTTTTACACATTTCTTAGAACAAAGGGTCACAATCAGGAGCATTCCGCACTCCTTTCCCCGCACTCGAAGTTCGAGTCTCGAACTACGTATTCGCCAATAATTACCATGCATGTCAATCTGGGTGGCTTTATACAGTGTACATATGAAAATTGAAATAAAACCCCTTCCTTAAACTGAATTATCACTACCCATATGCAGAATTAAGACCACCTCTTGCAGTCCATCTAAAACGCATGAAAACTTTTCATGATTAACTTTTTATTGTGTTGATGCATTGGTTGTGCATAAAAGTCAACTGTTTACGTATTGAATGAAGCGATTTTTTTGTCTCATCTCATAGAAATAAAGCTATCACTGCATCCTGGATCATAAAGTCGATCGAATACCATTTCAATTCTATTGTATTTACCTGCAATACAAGAAGTATATTTAAGAACGTACCGAATTTGGCCACGTATCCTGAGCTTATTTTTATCATGCTACATACACATTTCTTAAAACAAAAGGGTCATAATCCCGGGGTGTGGTCACATATGTAGAAGTAAAGCTATCCTAGCTTGAATCATCACATCGATCGAATTCATTTCTTTTCTGATCAAGAACGTACAGGATTTTGCCACGTGTGTATTCCCAGCTTATTTTTACCTTATGTTGTGTATATTTTAAAACAAAGGGTCACAATCCGGAGCGTGCAAATTCTCGGATTTCCACCAACCCCGAAAAACCGTTGGTTCCGTACTCCTTTCCCCGCACTCGACCTACGTACTTCGCCCATAATTGCCATCAATTATGTCTGGCTGGTTTGAAAAAATTCCTTTGTTCAATCTGTTTATTACTTGAATCGTGTGACCATCAACCTGGCGTCATGACTCATATGTATCGATACCATTGGTCATCGGGGTGTGGTCACATATGTAGAAGTAACGCTATCCATACATTCTAGCTTGAATCATCAAAATCGATCCAATTCTGTCCAATTCTACTGTACCTGTAAGTCTAAGGATGAGAACGTACCGAATTTAGCCACGTTTTCTTAGCTTATTTTTACATATTTCTTTTAGAACAAAGGGCCACAATCCGGAGCGTGCAAATCTTCGTATTTCCTCCATCCCCGAAAAACCTTGACAAAATGTTGGTTGTACCGTCCCCGCACTGGATCTATGCATTTCGCCCTATTAATTGCCATGCACGTCAATCTGGATGCTTTGAAAATTGAAATAAAACTTCTTTGTTCAATTCTGTTTATTGCTTGAATCGCATGACCAGCGCCGTGTCATGACTCATATGTATCGATACCATTGGTCATCGGGGTGTGGTCACACATAGAAGTAACGCTATCCATACATTCTAGCTTGAATCATCGAAATCGATCTAATTCAGTCCACTTCTACTGTACTGTAAGTCTAAGGATGAGAACGTACCGAATTTAGCCATGTTTTCTTAGCTTGTTTTTACAAATTTCTTAGAACAAAGGACCACAATCCGGAGCGTGCAATTTTTCGGATTTCCACCAACCCCGAAAAACCGTGACAAAAAGTTGGTTCCGTCCCCGCACTGGATGTATGCATTTCGCCCATAATTGCCATGTATGTGTCAATCTGGCTGGTTTGAAAATCGAAATAAAATTCTTTTGTTCAATTCAATTCTGTTGCTTGATCGTATGACCATTCGGCGTCATGTCATGACTCATAAGTATCGATACCATTGGTCATCGTCAGGTGCCATGAACAACTTTCGGATTAGTGTCTTATGCACTTTCACCCGGTTATCACATCCTTCTCGTCTGGTCAAGAAAATATCTTTAAATTTCAAAGCTCAAAATTGCAATTCCAAATTAAGGAACTCTAGCTCGAAACGCTTCAACTTAAACTCGAACGCTCGAACTTGAACGTTATCGTAATTCTGAAGGGTGAGTTTTTGCGCACTTTAATACTTATTTTTTTAGATTGATAGTGGCGACCAGTGTTTCGTTCGGGTGCAAAGTAGGCACTTGGAAGAAATAACTGCAAGAAAGTGATTTCCTGCAGCTATTTTGACCTGCAAGAAATGCAAGGCGCAACTACGCCCCCCGCTGTACTTCATACGGCGCGTGGCTAGATTGCGTACATTTCTTGCAGTTTCGTGCACATCGCATGTTTTGCGGGGCTTGTTTCGCAGTGGATGAAATGTTGAATGTAGCAAACCCATTCGAAACGAAACACTGGTCACGACACGGATTTGACGATTTCCTTAATAAAAAGACTGCTTATTTCATCTTTCATAATTTCATTCTTCGCAATTTGCATACTTAAGATGCGTCGACATTCGCGACATTGTATTGAGGAGTATGCCATGGAACCAGTGGGACAGGTTGTACCTGACCCTAATCCTCCTCCTACTCCTCCCCCTGCCCAAAGGGACAACGTCGCCATCGACATGCTGGAAGAATGCTACGAAGGAGGTCGATCCCGCTGCGAATTTGTCATCCGGTCGGAATGCCAACCTAACCAGGGGAATTTTCTCGTTCAAGCCTTGAAGAATCTGCCAGGGTTTAGGGAATGCCTTGCGAACGATATACATATTTCGATGAGGTAAGCTGTTATCAAATTCTTGGTATTTTTATAAAATAATGACCGAGCTAGGCGTCCTCCAGAAACGCACTAAAATCATATCTTGCTCATACACTACAATTCTAACGTCTCCCTACGTCCCCCCCCCCAATTTCCGCCGCTACTGGTACTGTATGTAAATGAAACTAACGCAAAAATTTAAGTGTGCCCTTAGGAATTTTTGAAATTCTGATTGCTCGCTGAGATAAATTATTTACAAGAATGTACCGAAATAGATTATAAATTATAGCACATTTTGCATATCAATTTATTATAGTTTACATTATTTTAAGGTATGTATTGCATAATTTGTTCGGAATCTTCCAAAAACGTAAATCGATTTAAACCAATCATTGTCAAATACATATATCTAATATTTCACCAGTTTCGTCCTCATCATTCTCATAATGGGGGTCTACTTCTATATCATGCAATCTTTCGTACCATGAGCTTCACAGTGGGGGCAATGCTTTCCACTTTTCAAGATAGTCTGTTGCCTGCATTTGGCTCCTAATGTTGTGCAGTCCTTGATTAGAATTGCTTTAGTTCGTCCATTAACGCACCTCATCACACCTTCGGGGGCACATTTGTCAGCTGGTGTGAGGTCACGGCCACAGAAAAAAAAGTAAGTTCCCTTCGTGTTTAGACCTGCTGGGCACAGGCAATCCGTTTCCGATTCATAAATTCTTATTTGGTCAAACTGGCTTACAATGGCCCTCCGGTCTTTTTCGCTCTCATGCGATGCGTGACAAATGCAACTGACAAGTAGCATCGCCATCAGAAGCGTAAATGTAGCTTTCATTATTTTCAAGGGTCGTGTTACGTTAAGCTAGAACCAAATAAATTAGTTTTTAAAATTTTAATTTCAACTTTTAGAAATAAAATGTTTCAATCGTATAAATAAAAATATATTGATTTACATGTAAGACATTCTATTTTCATTGGAATTTATACAAATTATTATTTATGTACCAGAAAATAATCGTAAGGCCCCGCTTCCAAGTTTATAAAGTTATGTTTTAGCAATACTTCCTGCTTCAGTGGCTCAATTACGAGTAATTTATTTAAGACGTCTTCTATATTTCCTTTGTTTTAGGGTGTTTTGGACGATCGTTATTGTGGTACTAAGTGCCATTGTGTACGTCATTGTTCATATGGGACAAACGAGAACAATGGGCCATCCGCTAGTAATTAACCCTGAAACGGAGGAAACGTACATCGGAAATGTTGCATTTCCCAAGGTCACCATTGCTCCCCCGGGGGGCTTCAAGCGCAGCAAAATCCATCAAGCGATAAGGTAAGGATTATATTTTACGAAATGCTGCTGAAAAGAGGGTTGACAAATATTTTAGGACTAATTCTGAACATTTATTTATAATCTATTTAATCTATTTATTTAATCTCATAATTTATAATAACACACTACAGGAATTCTATTGACCTAGCCTATGAGTTTGATACTTTTGATAATTGGACTTATAATGAGGCCGTGGGAATAATCCAAATCATTGATCAAGTTTGCTCCCCCAACACAACTTTTGCTGGTTTGAATGGCGTCAGCCATGAGAACAACCATAACTGGGAATTAGCAAATGCCCCTTTATATGACTGAACCAGTAATGGACAATGATTTACAGAAGAGTAAAATAGCCGCCCCATTTATTCGAGAGGTTAGGAAAATGGAAAGTATTTATTTGCGCCGTATTTATGCTATCATCAAAAAATGGATTCGCTCTTGTCTTTTTTTGCAGGGAATGGTAAACTGTTCGGAATTATTTGAACGCTGCTTCCTCAACGGAATGAAATTAGATTGTGGGGAGGTTTTTAAAGAGCATTTTTCTGAAAGGGGAAGTTCTTGCGTCTTTAACGGAATTCCAACCGCAGCAACGCGACTGTAAGATTAAGGACTATTTGATCTCAATTATTATTTGCATAATCAAAAATACTAATTTTTTCATTAATCTAGTAACAAGACGCTGCAATCAGAATTTGGACATCAGTACAAAGCTGAAGAGCTCACTGAATGGCAAAAGGTAAAATCTGATCGAGACAGCGACTCTGTTGCGGAAAAGGGTCAAAATAGAACGATTCCAATTCCCTGGAAGCAATATTTCCCCGGTAAAACTGCTGGCTTAACTTTCCTCATCAAACGCGAAAACGATTCTGAAAAAGCCTGCGTCCACGGTGAAGGGGACGGTTTAATGGTAAATTACATTATCGATTAGTCACCATTGAAAGACGCGAATTAACTTACCACAAATTTCAGCTTGCAGTAAATCATCCGTTTGACGAGCCTCAAATTCAACGCTTTGGGGCTCCCATTCCCTTTGGCGTGGAAGCCTACGTCGCCGTTCGTCCAACAGTTATTTTTGCCGATGATGAGATAAAGGACATCGATCCGAAGGGCCGTCGTTGTTATTTCAGCGACGAAGGTGGCCGGGCTAATTTAAAATATTATGAAAAGTATTCCAAGCAGAACTGCTTATCAGAATGTTTTTCAAATGAAATTACGACGAACTGCAATTGTTCAATGGTCACCTATCCTGGTACAAAAGGCAAAAAATTGCTCTCATGTCGACATAATTAAATATGATTTATTTAACCTAAATTTTTAGGAATTCCGGGACACAGATTGTGTACAGTTGACGACATGAAAACCTGCGTCCATAAGAAGGAACGTACGTATGAAAAATTTATTATTCATTGAGATGAATATGGCTAGTAAAAGTGCAGAAATATGTAATCCAGTAAATCTGTAGTTTGTGAATTATTGCAATCTGCAAATTAGAGGATCAAATAATTACATTAATAATTAAATAAATTATTTACGTAAAATGTAGAACAAAAATTTAAGTGTAGCATTTGAAGCGTGTAAATGCTAGAATATTTTAATTAAATGCTCTATTTAATTTTTTACAGAAGAAATTTTCAAGACAGGACTTACAACGTTATGTTCGAAATGTCATCCAAATTGCAGGGATACAAAGTACGAGATGTCGATATCTTGGAGCCCAATGACCGAGAAAACCATGAAGGACTGGGACATACCGTAAGATAGATTACCAAATTCAAAAAAAGGTCGCCTAGATTTTGAGCAAATTAGTGTTAATCGATGAATTAATAAAAAATTAATAAGAAATTTGCGAAATACATGATCTCTCAATGGGCTCGTTTGGGGGAGATATTTGCATCCGAAGAGGAGAAAAAGTTTATTACTGAACTTTCTAATTTTACTACACGTTTTCTCCTTTTCGGATGTAAGTATCTTCACCCATGGAAGATCACGTCCTTCGCAAATTTCATACTAAGTTTTGTGACCCATTGACACCAATTTGCTCAAAATCGGAGAGCATACGCTGGGAGACCTCCATTGTCAGTAATACAAATTTTAGACGATGCTATTCGACTATTTTTCTGCTTTATTAGTGACAACGCCAACTTTTCTCTTGTTCACGTCTACTTTGCCACGGATTCCGTCCAAGCCATGAGAAGGAGCTCGCGTTACAATTGGTTCGAAGTAACAGGTACACACCCTCTGTCACTAAATGGTTCAAATTAATTGTATATTTTGCTTAATTGATAATTATTCACAGGCTTAAACGGAGGGACAATTTCAATGGTGACAGGACTCTCCTTGTTAGATGCCATCAAAGGTGTTGTGGCCGGTATTTTGGTCTTAGCTGGTCAGTATTTTATAACTAGCCAGCAACCGGATGGAAGTGTGGAGGAGGAAACGAGTGAGTCATTTTTTAGTAGAATTTGTTAATTACTTAACATAGGACTCGATAACTCATCGCCAAAAATCAGCACATTTTTAACCATTTCTCGCCTCTGAGAACTTATTGTAAAATTCTGGACGTCAAATTTGTAGAGCAAGTCATTTCCCCTTTTTGAAAAACGTACACTCCAGATTTTGACACTCTTTGAAGGAGATCTCAAGGTTAAGAAGCCTTCAGAAAAATTGGAACTCGTCGAAATTGGTTCAGAAACTCAACGCCATTTCATCCATCAACTCACTGACTACAAATTTGTCGTTCAGAATTTTAAAATAAATTCCCAGAGCAGAGAAATTATTAAGAATCTGCTGATTTTAACGATTTGGGTGATAAATGAAATGAAAACACGGCTTTCATAATAATTTATTTAGCGACCAATTCAGCTCAAAGACGCGACACCATCGTAGTTCCTCGGAGGAGCCTCCTCCTCCTTCACAAATTACCTATGTCCAACCACGACGCAATCCACCCACACCGCCGCCGCAGTATCGTCCAGTCGAGCCTGAACCTGACGTATAAAAAATGCAATTAAACTTTAATATTGCCAAACGTGATAGTCTGAAAAATAATTGTGATATACCTGGGGAAGCATAACCTCCATCAAAATTTGGCTCCCGCGTGCGTATCCCTACCATGCTAATAGTATGGGAAGGATACGAGCGCGGGATGATGGAGGTTATACTTCCCAAGTATTAATTGTGCTGGGCGCAGAAATTATTTACATAGTTTTCGAGTTTATAAGGAAGTATATTTAATTAAGGAAATGTTCAACTAGTCTGAATTTCTTGTAAGAGATACAAACTACAATTACCTAAAAATTACGACATATTTATTATTAAATTAATTGAAATCATGTCATGTCACCAATTAGTATAATTACTGTCGGAACTTATTTCGATAATAAGGTAATTATTTTTACATATTTATTTGCATTTCACGAGATAATTTACACCATATTTTTTACAACGAATTTTTCCACTTGATGATAATATTCAGCATTACAATATTGCAAATAAATTGTTATGCTTATCTTGTCACTTGCATTATCGTTTTTATGAGGTCTTTCAAAAAAAATTTGTTAAAAATTCAATTAAAAAGTACAAAAAAAATTAATTAAATATGTAAATTAAAAATAATTCAATTAAAAATTACAGTAAATTCTTAATAGCACTGAATTACTATTAATATGAGCCTTGTGTAAAATTGTGTAGATTACGATGTAATAAAGCTTGAAAAAGTTTGCGAATATTTGTTTTCGAAAAAATCAATGCCGATTTTTTTCACAAAAATTTTAAAATCGGCATTGTCTGAAACTGGCCCACTGCACGACGACAGCAAAATTCTATAAATGATTATGATCTCATTCGAACAAAAAACAAATCATACCAATTTTCCGTTTTTTCACTCATTTTAAACCTTTAATTACTCTTTACTCCTCCATAATTTTATGACTGGATTTTCACACTTTTTGACTATATGTATTTTTACCACTCTCAACCATTTCACTCGTTAAAAATATTTATTACGGAAGACAGGAAAAAGTTATAAAATTAGTAGCTGACTCATGGACTAGATTAATTAATGTATTGTTTCGTTGCATGTATCATAATAATTTGTGTGGTAACATATCTTTAACGTGGCATTGTATCACGTGTTTTTTGTTTGAATTGTTGTGTCTCAACTTTCCCTTCCTCCATGTATTCAAATGGCGATTCTGAAAAATGTTCACCGCCTTTCGTTTTAGGCCTTTTAAGATGGCCTTATAGATTTACCAAGATGTCTGTCTGTCCGTCCGTCTGTGCGTCCGTCTGTGCGCACGATAACTCTCTTTAAACAAAAGCTATCGACTTGAAATTTTGCACACTTTATCTTCGGGTCAAAAGTAAGGATGAGTTCGGAGATGGGCATGATCGGCCAAGTAGTTGGCCGGTGGGGGTCATTACTATCCAAATGCGTTGCCCTTAACTACCAAGAACCTTTAGAGCAGGTTAAATTATTTAAGTGCAAGTAAAATATTTGTAGCTTGAAAAATATCTATAGTAATAATTTTCAGTAATTTTAGTATGAAGATTGCGACTGACCTCAAAGCGTTTAAATTGGAATGGAGTTTCAGAAATTTTAAACCTGGGAGACCCGATAGGGTGACCCGACGGATTTCTAAAATTTGTAGTACGTAGTTGAAATTTGGAACAAAGGTTGCTAGTGGATTGTAACAGAAAAAACTGAATTTAGGTTGGAACAATTTTAATCTCGATGGACCCTATGGGGTGACCCATACTGATTTTTCAAAATCGTCATATCGAAGTGAAATTTGGGAGAGAGGTGATCCATATCTATTTTTAGAAATTGCGTTAAAAACATGAAATCCGGCACGGTAATACTTACAATTAGTGGCTTCTCATCAAAGAACTTGAAATTAAAAGTTAGCTAACAAGGGATACTTTCGAGGTGATAATCGTGTCCAGGGTACCACTCATTGGTCTAAATGTTTTTTGATCGAGTGTTTCTCACGGGTTCGGGTTCTTACTTCGGGTTTCGGGTTCGGATCGGGTTTGGGTCCTGCTTCGGATACGAAATTTCAGAACCCGAAACTTTCGGGTTCGGGTTCGGGTCCGAGAAATGTGAGCCCAAAATTTCGGGTTCGGGTCGGGTTCGGGTTCCGACTAAGAACCCGAAACCCGAACCAACAAGAACTTTTTGCCACAACGAATACGAAAACATTAAAAAAGAAAATAAAGTGTTAACCACACTTGCTACGACGGTTATGCTGCAGTAATTCATTAAATAATTCAAATTTTTAATTGCCGTAACTTCTTTTCACAAGTGTCTTCAATTAGTGTTATGGTTTGAATATTGAAATAAAATATATTTTTTTATCAAAAATTTGCTAAATAGTTAGCTTGAGCTTACTTTAATATTGGAAACTTGAAACTGAAAATCATTTTCAGTTTTCAACTGATTTAAAAATTTCTGAATGTCACGGAAAGCCATTATCCATGGTCGATTTTTTGAGATTGCATTATTATGGTCGAGGAATTAAGATTCACATTTTAAAATGCGTTATGTACTTATGCAGAAATGTGCTTAATTATAATTCCTCGGTCATATTTACAGAAGTATTGTTTGTTTGAAACCTTTAGGCTAAAAAGCCAGTCACCCCTTAAAGTTAAAATATATTCGGTTTTTCGGGTTCGGGTTTCGGATTTGATCCGCCAGTTCGGGTTCGGATCCTTGGAAACGGGTTTCGGGTTCTTCGGGTTCGGGTTGCCCTCAAGTTTCGGATCAGTAGTATCGGGTTCGGGTTTCGGATTTGCAGGAACCCGACCCGTGAGAAACACTAATACCCATCTTCGAACTCGGTCGTTGCCCAGATGCATGTCTGTATCAAATTTGGTAAAAATCAGCCTACTCCTTCGAGAGTTATGGAAAGACAGACAGACGGACAGGTCGATTACATAAGCCCTAGTTCGGGCTAAAAATTATATGCCAATCGTTCATTAGAGTCTGGCTTTTATGTAATAATGCCGTCTTAAAAGGCCCCGCGAAGTTGCTTGGAGTAGGTTTTTTAACAATATGAAGATATTAATGCACCTAAAAATCGGTAATTTTTAGGCTTACATAGTTAGGAGATAAAAATTTTGATTTTTTTCTTCAACAGGAAGATAAATATAAAATAGATGAAAAATAATCAATAAAATTTAAATATTTCCTCATTGAAGAAAAAAATCAAAATTTTTATCTCCTAACTATGTAAGCCTAAAAATTACCGATTTTTAGGTGCATTAATATCTTCATATTGTTAAAAACGAAAGGCGGTGAACATTTTTCAAAATCGCCCTTTGAATGCATGGAGGAAGGGAAAGTTGAGACACAACAATTCAAACAAAAAACCCCGCATCAGCCAGCATGCTATTCCGCCTTAATAAGTAAATATTTTACACTTGTTGCATGTACATACACTTATTTTAAGTAAGTAGTTACTTACAAGTGTATACTTGTTTTAAGTACCTTACTTGAAGGTGTTATCCTTACACATAACCTTGTGTAAAGTTACCTTATTTGCGTGACATTCTTTCCTTCGACTAATCTCAATGTGCTTCAAGTTAGCCGTGGCCGAGATGCAATTTAGCCGTAGCCGTGGCCGAGATGCAAGACAGCCGTGGCCGTGGCCTAGCCGAACAATTTCAAATCACCCCAAAAATTTCACTTTACCCCAAAAATTTCACTTTACCCCAAAAATTTCACTTTACCCCAAAAATTTCACTTTACCACTAAAATTTCACTTTACCACTAAAATTTCACTTTACCCCAAAAATTTCACTTTACCCCAAAAATTTCACTTTACCACTAAAATTTCACTTTACCCCAAAAATTTCACTTTACCCCAAAAATTTCACTTTACCACTAAAATTTCACTTTACCCCAAAAATTTCACTTTACCCCAAAAATTTCACTTTACCCCAAAAATTTCACTTTACCCCAAAAATCTCGTTTTGACCCCAAAAATTAATTTCAGGGATAGTTAAATTAACATTCTTTCCAAGTAAAAACACATTGTTGAAAACCAAGTTATAGAGGTTAATTTGTGATATGCGATCATGACTAAATTACCACGAGATTTTATTTTGGAAAAATTGAATGAACTAAATACTATGGGTGGAATTCAATATACGTTAGGCAGTGCTTAGGCAAGGGCAATTTGCCTAAGCAAATTTATTTTGTATTCAATATTTGTTGCTTAGGCAAAATTCTGAGCAAGTGCTGAGCAAATTATTTAGGACCTTTTGTATTCAATATGCACAAATTCCTAAATTTTTTGCCTAAAGTTATTCCAGCTCGGAGATGGAATAACGACTAGCGTAACTATAATTAAACTCAGAGAACTATTTATTTTGACCGTTTTAGACGTAGTTTAGGGCGAGGATTGCAGAAATCGACTTGGTTTTGATGTGTGATGACCGCGTGATCGTGTAAATGACGCCAAAGTCGAAAATGTGGATTTTAGTAAATTAAAAAAAATATATATATCGTCTCTGCTGAAAATATCCGAGAGGTGAATACCGTGACCTTTTTAGCACGCATTATTCAGGAAAATAGTTAGGTTTTCGCCAAAATCTCGAGTTTCTCGATGAAATATTCTAAAATTTTCGCCCAAAACCAAAATAAGTTAATACTAGGCTTTAGGATTCATGCACTCTAAATAAAAATGAGTAAAATTTACTCAACGTTGGGTAAAAAAGAGGATGACACGACCAAAAGGTAAAATTTGTCTAAAGTAGTGTAAAATTTGCCCAACGTTGGGTAAATTTTACCTTTTGGTTGTGTCGTTTTTACCTAACCCTGAGTAAATTTTACTCATTGTTATTTAGAGCATGATTTTGAAAAATGTCAATCACAATTTTTGACCCAAAAGTATACTTTTTAACTCCAGTGATTTTTTTGGAGGCTTTATTTTTTTATCGATAACACAACTCGATATGAACATTTTGATATCTTGTAAACTTTGACGATTATTTTGAAGTAGTGAATTTTTAAAGGCGAATTTTAACGATTTTTAAAAATTATCCTGATAGCGCAAATTTTCCAACCTCG